TAGTTTAAACATCCTTTGGCCTTGCCCTTCTTTGGAATTGGGATGAAAACTTATCTTTTCCAGTCCTGTGGCCACTGCTGTGTTTTCTAAATTTGCTGGCATACTCAGTACAGCACTTTAACAGCAACATGTTTTAGGATTTCAAATAGCTCAGCTATAATTCCATAACATCCACTAGCTTTGGTCGTTGTGGTGCTTCCTAAGGCCCACTTGACTTCACACTCCAGGATGTCTGGCTATACGTGACTTATCACACCATCTTGGTTATCCACATCATTAAGATCTTTTTTTTTTTTTTAAGATCTTTTTAATATAGTTCTTCTGTGTATTCTTGCCACCTCTTCTTAATATCTTCTGCTTCTCTTTGGTCCATACCATTTCTGTTCTTTGTTTTGTCCATTTTTGCATGAAATGTTCCCTTGGTATCTCTAATTTTCTTGAAGAGGTCTCTAGTCTTTCCCATCCTGTTGTTTTCTTCTATTTCTTTGCATTGATCACTAAGGAAGACTTTCTTATCTCTTCTTGCTGTTCTTTGGAACTCTGCATTCTGATGGGTATATCTTTCCTTTTCTCCTTTGCTTTTCACTTCTCTTCTTTTCTCAGCTATTTGTAAAGCCTCCTCAGACAACCATTTTGCCTTTTTGCATTTCTTTTTATTGGGGTTGGTTTTGATCCCTGCCTCCTGTATAGTGTTAGGAACCATCCGTCCATAGTTCTTCAGGCAGTCTGTCAGATCTAATCTCTAGAATCTATTTCTCACTTCCACGGTATACTTGTAAGGGATTTGATTTAGGTCATACCTAAATGGCCTAGTGGTTTTCCCTACTTTCTTGAACTTAAGTCTGAATTTGGTAATAAAGAGTTAATGATCTGAGCCACAGTCAGTTCCCAGTCTTGTTTTTGCTGACTGTATAGAGCTTCTCCATCTTTGGCTGCAAAGAATATAATCAATCTGATATTGGTATTGACCATCTGGTGATGTCTATGTGTAGAGTCATCTCTTGTGTTGTTGGAAGAGAGTGTTTCCCATGTCCAGCTCATTCTCTTGGTAAAACTCGATTAGCCTTTGCCCTGCTTCATTTTGTACTCTAAAGGTTAAGATTGCCCGTTACTCTACACATCCTTCTACTCCACCACCTTGAATACCCATCACTGGACAAGGACAAGTCCCTAAAGACATTTCTGTCCAGTGACTTAGACAGACAACTGTGATAGATTGGCGGGAAATTCCCTGGCAGTCCTTTGGTTAGAGCTCCGTGCTTCCACTGCAGAGGACATGGCTTCAATTTCTGTTTGGGAAAGTAAGATCTATCATGCCTTTTGGCATGGCCAAAAATTGTTTTGAGAAAAAATTGTAAAAGTTCATGTCTGTGCACTACTATCAAGGGATCCATTGTCAGAAACAATTTTCCCTGCCGTATTAAGAGATTTGTAAATGAATGCATGTTGTAAGATATTAAAATAATACAGTTGGTATCATACTTTTTGTTTCTTTGGTTTTGTTGATTATCTTCAGGTAGTCAGTTACTTAATTGTACTAATTATGGGCATGCGTTGAGAATTTTATTTTCTTGAACTTTTTAACATCTAAGAAATTATATAGTTTATTTTCTCTTGTAATTGAATTTCCAATGGTAAGCATGCATTTATTTCTCTTTTAGTTTATTCAGTTGTCATTACTTTTAATTTGCAGTTTTATATTGCCTTAAACTTTTATGTTATTCTGTTCTGTGGTCCATCTCTTGTTGCTGTTAAAACGCTTAAAAACCTTCAGTTTCTTTTTTTTTTTTAAGATAAGGCACTTTTTAACATACCTTTGGAAATCCAGAGTGTTTTTTTTTTTTTATTTGAATGATATTATTTTTTAAAATACAGTTTTGAAATACTAATATTTCCTTTGGTAGATGATAAACTTCATTGGAGAGATATTTTCTATTTAATTTTTTAATCAGAGAGATTTTAAAATAATTTTCTGTTGGAATATATACCTTATGTATTTGAAAGTCCTTTCATGTGTTGGGTTTTTACGATGAAGAAATAAATAATAAGTAGTGTTGCCAGCCAAGGTTCAGTCAGAAGACAGAATCCACAAGTTATTTTTACAGAGAGAATTTAATATAATTTGTTAAATGAATATCGATGAATTAAGAATGCAAAAAGGAAACACTAAAGTATCATGGAGGTAGGTAATCACAGTACATAGCTCCTACCCCTGAAGCTGGAAGAATAAAATGAGGAGGTAAAAATGATTAAACTGTAGAGGCTTGGAGGAGAGGCACTGCCGAGCTGTGACTCAGACCACTGAGGGATAGGTGTAGCCATCCTGTGTCTCTGAGAGGTGTGATGAACTGGTTCAGTTAGACAAACTGCGGTCTGTAACTGCTACTGAAGTGAATGTCCCACCAGGGTTGCTAGGGTTTTACTGACAAGAATAGGAAACACTTAGGAAGGAACAGGTTCCTTCTCCCTTCAGCTTCTGGTCTTTCAATACCTGCATTGACACAGTTTAATAAGAAACCATTCTAAACCATTAGAATTAGCAGAAAAAAGTGTTTTGCTTGATTCTAGGCGCAGTATCACAGAATATAAAAGAGTTATAAGACAGTAGCTTAATTCAGTTCAATTCAGTTATTCAGTTGCTCAGTCGTGTCTGACTCTTTGCCATCTCATGGACTGCAGCACGCCAGGCTTCCCTGTCCATCACCAGCTCTCGAGCTTATTTAAACTCACGTCTATCGAGTTGGTGATGCCACCCAACCATCTCATCCTGTGTTGTCCCCTTGTCCTCCCACCTTCAATCTTTCCCAGCATCAGGGTCTTTTCCAGTGAGTCAGTTCTTCGCATCAGGTGGCCAGAGTATTGGGGTTTCAGGCTCAGCGTCAGTCCTTCCCATGAATATTCAGGACTGATTTCCTTTAGGATGGACTGGTTGGATCTCCTTGCAGTCCAAGGGACTCTCAAGAGTCTTCTCCAACACCACAGTTCAGAAGCATCAAATCTTCAGCACTCAGCTTTCCTTATGGTCCAACTCTCACATCCATACATGACTACTGGAAAAACCATAGCTTTGACTAGGTGGACCTTTGTTGGCAAAGTAATCTCTGCTTTTTAGTATGCTGTCAGTGTTGGTTATAGCTTTTCTTCCAAGGAGCAGGCATCTTGTAATTTCATGGGTGCAGTCACCATCTGCAGTGATTTTGGAGCCCAAGAAAATAAAGTCTGTCACTGTTTCCACTGATTACCCATCTATTTGCCATGGAGTGATGGTACCAGATGCCATGATCTGAATGTTGAGTTTTCAGTCAGCTTTTTCACTCTCCTCTTTCACTTTCATCAAGAGGCTCTTTAGTTCCTCTTCACTTTCTGCCATAAGGGTGGTGTAATCTCCATATCTGAGGTTATTGATATTTCTCCCAGCAATCTTGATTCCAGCTTGTGCTTCATGCAGCCCGGCATTTTGCATGATGTACTCTTCATAGAAGTTAAATGAGCAGTGTGACAATATACAGACTTGACGTACTCCTTTCCCAATTTGGAACCAGTCTGTTGTTCCATGTCCAGTTCTAACTTGCTTCTTGTCCTGCATACAGATTTCTCAGGAGGCAGGTTAGGTGGTCTGATATTCCCATCTCTTGAAGAATTTTCCACAGTTTGTTGTGATCCACACCATCAAAGGGTTTGGCCTAGTGAATAAAACAGAAGTAGATGTTTTTCTGACATTCTCTTGCTTTTTCTCTGATCCAGTGGATGTTGGCAATCTGATCTCTGATTCCTCTGCCTTTTCTAAATCCAGCCTGAACATCTGGAAGTTCATGGTTCACGTACTGTTGAAGCCTGGCTTGGAGAATTTTGAGCATTACTTTGCTAGTGTGTGAGATGAGTGCAATTGTGTGGTAGTTTGAACATTCTTTGGCATTGCCTTTCTTTGGGATTGGAATGAAAATTGACCTTTTCCAATCCTGTGGCCACTGCTGAGTTTTCCAAATTTGCTGGCATAGTGAGTGCAGCACTGTAACAGCATCATCTTTTAGGTTTCTAAATAGCTCAGCTGGAATTCCATCACCTCCACTAGCTTTGTTAGTAGTGATGCTTCTTAAGGCCCACTTGACTTCACATTCCGGGATGTCTGACTCTGGGTGAGTGATCACATCCTTGTGTTACCTGGGTCTTGAACATCTTTTTTTGTACAGTTCTTCTGTGTATTTTTGGCACCTCTTCTTAGTATCTCTGCTTCTGTTAGGTCCATGCCACTTCTGTCCCTTATTGTGTCCATCTTTGCATGAAATGTTCCCATGGTATCTCTGAACTTGAAGAGATCTCTAGTCTTTCCCATTCTATTGTTTTCCTGTATTTCTTTGTATTGATCACTGAGGGAGGCTTTCTTACCTCTCCTTGCTGTTCTTTGGAACTCTGCATTCTAGTGGGTATTTCTTTGCCTTTAACTTCACTTCTTTTCTCAGTTATTTGTAAGGCTTCCTCAGGCAACCATTTTGCCTTTTTGTATTTTTAGTTTAATTAGTGGCTTTTAAATAAGTACTGCCTATTCACTTTACTTTGTTTGAGTTCATTTGAGGACCCTCATTTTTTTCACTTTTGCTTTCCTGACACTGCAGCACATATGGATCCTCTGCCTCACTTATTTGCCATTGATAGTGACATTGTCACTTAAACTGTTCCTCTTTTTAAATGTTTATCCTTTTACCTGTAGTTCTTGTGTGTCCTTGCTGTTTCATTGAACGAAGGGTGAAAGGGTTCTGTTCGTATAGTTTGGATTCTATTACCAGCCTCGTCTAGTACCTTATAGAGAGTTAATCAACTACTACTAAGTACCTTCTCTTTTCTGAGAAGTTGAAGAGTTTTTAATGTCTTCTTATGAAATGGAATGTCTCAAAATTATGCCTTTTTCATATCAAAAGAGTTAATTTTTTCATGGCATTCATGGTGCTAAAATGCTTAAAAGTAAACTTTAAAAAAGTTTTTTTTTCCTTTTTAATTATCAGGTGCTTCTAAGGAAGGAGGTGCCGGAGCAGTTGATGAAGATGATTTTATAAAAGCTTTTACAGATGTCCCTTCTGTTCAGGTAAGGGTACCAGTAATGTGGCATTCCCCATACATATTCCCTGTTATAATCAGTTGTTTTTGTCCCTTTTTTCAAATCCTTTTTTTCCTAAATTGACTACATAAATAAAATACTTGACTTACTATTATCAAGTTATTATTTATTGGTAGAATTGGATGTTCAAGTGATTTTTCAGTGAGGCTGACATAAAATTAAATCCATATCGTTGAGTCATATCACATTACAGTGTCTCAGTATATCCACTGTTTTTTTTTAAAGGTGCTTGTGAACAGTGTTCTTTCATTTTTCCCCCCTATTTTTTTGTCTGCGTCATCTATTTCTCCTTTATAGCTACATCCTTCTTTATTTGACTGTTGAATATTTGAGATTTCTTAAGGGTTAGTTTTAGGCCTCTCTTCTTACTATCCATTTTACTAAATCGCTTCCTTCAAATCTATGGCTTTAGTTCCTGCCTTTACATAGATAATGCTTAGGTTTTTGTCTCTAAGCCAGACATCTGTCTATTGTGAAAGTAATTTTTCCACTGATTGTTTCTTTGACATCTCCTTTTAGATGTCTCTGAGGAATCTCAGATTCAACCTGTGCACAACTCTATTCATGATCTTCTCCTCTCAAATGTACTCTTTCAGTGTTTGATGTGGAAACCACTGCTTAATCAGTTGCAAGAGTCAGACACCTAGAAATTATTTCTACTGATTCCTAACTTAGCAGGGAAGGCAGGAGGCAGGAAAGGCTTAGACCCTCCAGTGATCCTTCTCTAACAGAGTGTTATCTGGTCCCCCTCTGACCTCATCCACCTTGTCTCCTGCCTTGCTCCCCTTTGTACTCTTGTTTCTGGCAAGTTTCTGTTTTAAGTGAAAGGGGAATTTAATGGCTGCTAAAAGTGAAAAATACAAGCAGGGCCATTTTGAGGTATCCATGTATACCACTCAGATGGTATCCAGAGCCCTGTTTTTTGTTAGGTCTTATTTCTGGATCCTTCTACGTTGTCTTCCCTTGCGGTCAGCAGTATGCCTGCAGCTGTCAGAGCCTCACACCCTCGCTGCACTCTGCTCTTTTCCTGGTTGATCATTAAAACTTGTGTTTCACTCTCATCGCACTGACTGGGCCACATGCCCACCTCTGAGCCTTGACTGTGATGTGGAGAAGTCCTATGTGTGACTGACTTAGGCCTGGGCGCTGGCTCTTTGCCTGGTTCCCTCTGCATTCTTTACCACTGTGCTCGGCCTTCTTTCAGTTTCTCTCAGGGCCTTTGCACATGCTGTTCACCCATCTGTTTTGTATGATGATACCTGCCTCAGTTCAAGTTTGACTTTCCTCACTAGTTCACTTCCCTCTCATATGTACACTTTCAAGACAGTGTGTAATTCTCCTTGGTGGTACTTTCTATTTGTAATTTCATATTTTATATCATTTGATTCTTTTCTCTCTTGACTAGATTATATGCTGCTGAGGCAAAAACCATGCCTATTTTTTGCTAACCATAGTGTCCTTTATGCCTAGAATATTGCATCCTTGTTATGTGAACACTTGTTAAGTGAGTGAAAGGTGTTTGGTGGTTAGCTCCAGAGGGAAAAAAAATGAGCATCTCTCCTGGCTGCTGTCCAGCATGGACAGGGGTGGAGGAGGTATTAACCTAAAACAAATACATATCAATATATGAATGCAATTTAGTTCAGTTCAGTTCAGTCGCTCAGTCGTGTCTGACTCTTTGCGACCCCATGGAGTGCAGCATGCTAGGCCTCCCTGTCCATCACCAACTCCTGGAGTTTATTCAAACTCACGTCCATTGAGTAGGTGATGCCATCCAACCATCCTTTGTCATCTCATCCTCTGTCATCCCCTTCCCCTTCCGCCTTCAATCTTTCCCAGCGTTAGAGTCTTTTCCAATGAGTCAGTTCTTCACATCTGGTGACCAAAGTGTTGGAGTTTCAGCTTTAGCATCAGTCCTTCCAATGAATATTCAGGACTGATTTCCTTTAGGATTGACTGGTTGCATCTCCTTGCAATCCAAGGGACTCTTAAGAGTCTTCTCCAACACCACAGTTCAAAAACATCAATTCTTTGGCACTGAGCTTTCTTCATAGTACAACTTTCACATCCGTCCATGACTACTGGAAAAACCATAGCCTTGACTAGACAGACCTTTGTTGGCAAAGTAATGTCTCTGCATTTTAATATGCTGTCTAGGTTGGTCATAGCTTTTCTTCCAAGGAGTAAGCGTCTTTTAGTTTCATGGCTGCAGTCACCATCTGCAGTCATTTTGGAGCCACCAAAAATAAAGTCTGTCACTGTTTCCCCATCTATTTGCCATGAAGTGATGGGACTGGATGCCATGATCTTAGTTTTCTGAATGTTGAGCTTTAAGTGAACTTTTTCACTCTCTATGAATGTAATAGATTTTTTATATACCTGAAGTCATTTTGAGGAATCATCCCTATTTTTCCTAATCTGTAGGATATTTGTATTTTGTTTTTAAATGACAAAGCATTTTAAGAGTATATTTGAAGTTACTTATGAGTGGAGAAAATACCCTTACCTACGTAACTGGTAAGGAAGACAAAGCATTTTATTTTATTATTGTTTGTAATGTATTTCCATTCTTCATTTAAAAAATGGTGCTAAAAGGGGAAAAATATTGTTACTTAAATGATTGTTTTAAACATCGGGGCATCATTTTGTTGTGGCAAGAAATATTAATGTTATCATTTTGCATCTTTTCTTGAAGATCTATTCTAGTCGAGAACTTGAAGAAACATTAAATAAAATCAGGGAAATTTTGTCAGATGACAAACACGACTGGGATCAGCGTGCCAATGCAGTAAGTGTTCTATTTTTTATTTTCTTCTCTCTCTGTTTTTTCCCCCAGTGTTCTTTTTCAAAAACTTGGAAATTTAGTAGTAATACTATCTGGTATTTGCTTTTGAAATAGAGTCTGATAAGTAGTATTTCAGTCTGGAAAACAAATTGAGATAATAGGCCTTTTTCAGGGTGCATTTTTTTCTGTTTTGCTGTTCAGGAAGAGTCTATCTCATCCATTTGTTAGTGTCTCCACCTGTGTTACTTGCTGAGCTTCATTGATGCCCCAGTGCCCTGGCTTTCCTTTGGGTTACATAGCTGTGGGGTAGAGGGAACCCTTGGGCACTGTTGGTAGGAATCTAAATTGGTAGGAATGGCATTAAATCTGTAGATTGCTTTTGTAGTGTGGCCATTTAACAATATTCATTCTTCCAGTCCAAGAGCATGGGATAGCTTTTCATTTCTTTGATTCATCTACAGTTTCCTTTATCAGTGTGTTATGGTTCTCAGTGAATGTCTTTTACCTCCTTGGTCAGGTTTATTCCTAGGTGTGTGTGTATGTAATATATATATGTAATGAAAGTGTTAGTCCCTCAGTTGTATCCAGTTCTTTGTGACCTCATGGACTTTAGCCTGCCAGGCTCTTCTGTCCATGGAATTCTTCTGGCAAGAGTACTGGAGTGGGTTGCCATTTCCTTCTCCAGGGGATCTTCCCAACCCAGTGATCAAACATAGGCAGACCCTTTCCTATCTGAGCCACCATGGATGCAATTTTTAAAGTCTTTTTTTAAACTTTCTGATATTTTATTGTTAGTATAAAGAAATGCAACAGCTTTCTGTATGTTAATCTTGCATCCTGCTGCTTTGCTGAATACATTTAGTAGTTCTAATCGGTTTAGTGTGGCGTCTCTAGGGTTTTCTATAAAATCATGTTACCTGCATGTGATGGCAGTTTTACCTCTTCATTTCCAATTTGGATACCTGTTATTTCTTTTTCTTGCCTGATTCATGTTACTAAGAGTTCTAATAAATACTGTGTTGAACAGAAGTGGTAGAGTGGGCATCCTTGTCTTGTTTCAGATTTTAATCACTTGAGTGTTGGGTTTGGATTTGTCATAAACCATTGGCTATGAGTTTGTCATAAATAGCTTTTATTGAGATATGTTGAGATATGTTTCTTTTATACCCACTTTGGTAAGAGTTTTTATCATAAGTGGTTGTTGAATTTTATCAGATGTTTTTTCTACATCTGTTGAGATGATCATGTGGTTTCTTTTATTGATGTGCTATGTCACATTGTTTGATTTGCATATGTTGAACCATCCTTGTGACCCTGGGATAAATCCAGTTTGATCAAGGTGTATGATCCTTTTTATATGTAATTGGATTCAGTTTGCTAATATTTTGTTGAGGATTTTTTCATTTGTATTCATCAAAGATATTGGCCTGTAATTTTCTTTTTTGGTAGCGTCTTTGGTTTTGGTGTTAGGGTGATGGTGGCTTCATAGAATTACTTTGGGAGGGTTCCCTCTCCTTTAGTCTTTTGGACGAATTTTTCTTTTTGTTTTATTTATTTATTTGACTGCACCAAGTCTTGGTTGTGGCATGGGGAATCTTTTAGTTGTGGCATGTGGGACCTAGTTGCCTGACCAGGGATTGAACTCTGGCCCCCTGCGTTGGGAGTGCAACATCTTAGCCATTCCACTAGGTAAGTCACTCTTTTTGGAAGAGTTTGAGAAGGCTTGGTATAAGTTCTTTTTTGTATGTTTGGTAGAAATCCTCAATGAAACCATCTTGTCATGGACTTCCATTTGCAGGGAGCTTTTTTTTATTGCAGATTCTGAAATTTTTCATGATCAGATTGTTCAGATTGCCTGTTAATTATTCATTCAGTTTTGGTGGGCTGTATGTTTCTAGAAAGTAAGATGGACTTGTTCTGTTTTGTGCTATATTAACAATATTGCAATAAACATCCTTGTATGTATTTATAACCGTGGTGTTTTTATTTTTGTAAGTTAAATTTTTATAAATGAGGTTGATAGGTAAAGAATAGATAGAGTTTTATTTCAATAGACGTTGCCAAAATATTTTGAACAAAGATATTAGTCATTCATGATCTACTTAACAGTAAGAATATCTGTTTTCTATCTGGTACTGGGTGTTATTGAGTCTTAACTTTTGCCGATCTAATGAAGGAAAATGGTGTGTCTTTGTTGTAATTTGCATTTGCTTATCACTAGTAAGGTTGAACACATTTCCTTGTATTTATTTTAGCCAATGTAATATTTGGTTGTCTTTTTTTTTACTTTATTGCCATTCCTTGTGTATTGTACTGTTGTGTTGCAGATAATTTTTTCCTACCATATTGTGATTTTTTTTTAGTTACTCATTTAGATGCCTCCTGATTTCTGCTTGTGATAGTTTCCCTTCCTTATATACCCTTAAGGTTATATAATATTCTTTCAACTATTTTTTTAATATCCACAATATTTTATTTTTATATTTTCCATCTTTAGTTCATCTATCTTTAAAAATTTAGAAGACCTCAGAAATTAATATGCTGCTGCTGCTAAGTCACTTCAGTCTTGTCTGACTCTCTGCCACCCCATAGACGGCAGCCCACCAGGCTCCCCTGTCCCTGGGATTCTCTAGGCAAGGATCCTGGAGTGGGTTGCCATTTCCTTCTCCAATTCATGAAAGTGAAAGTGAAGTTGCTCAGTCATTTCCGACTCTTAGTGACCCCAGACTGCAGCCCACCAGGCTCCTCCGTCCATGGGATTTTCCAGGCAAGAGAACGAGAGTGGGTTGCCATTGCCTTCTCCAAAATTAACATGAGATTCTACATAATAATGGGTATTATTTAGGTAAACTTTAAACTTCTGTGTGTGAGCTCAGACGTGCACCTGAGTGTGTCTTTTGTCACAATTTTAAATAGACTCCCTTAAAACTTTAAGATTTATTTATATAGTCAAACATTATATATGTCTCTTATACATATAACTAAATCTGTAATGTTCTTTTCCAGAGAGCTGGTTTGTTTGTTTCTTCACATGTTTATTTATGTTTAATGCTGTTAAAATGTCTTAATATAGTTATAAAATCTAATGAAAACTTAAAAAATTTTGTTCAAATAATGTTTAGGCAGTTTGTTTTTTTACACTGCTTTACTTTTTAATGTCAGTAATGAACATTTTCTTTATTTCAGCTAAAGAAAATTCGATCATTGCTTGTTGCTGGAGCTGCACAATATGATTGCTTTTTCCAGCATTTACGCTTGTTGGATGGAGCACTTAAACTTTCAGCTAAGGATCTTAGATCCCAAGTGGTTAGAGAAGCTTGCATTACTGTAGCGTAAGTATATTCTTTTTGTGATAAGTATTTTTTATGAATTAATTGCGTGCTCATTGATTGAGTTGCTCATTCAGTAAAGCACTAGTAGGATAACCCCCCTAAAGCATGATCCAAAAATCATTTGCACAGGGGTTAAATTTGTGCGATTTGAAAAAAAACCTTTCTTAACAGTACTTTATACATGTCAGCAGTCAGCTGGTAGGTTTTTGGTAACTAACTCTGTGGGTGTAAGAAAAAAATGAATGGGTCCAAGAACTGGCTCTTATATAACATTCTATTTGCTAATTTGGGTATTAAGCTTTTTATTTCTGACATTTTAGCAATTGTCCTCGAATTGTAACATACATCATTAACTTACCAAAATCTAAAACTATTCAGTATGTTTATATTTTTCTACAATTTAAGGATGGTAGAACACTTGAACTCCTTTTATGGCTGCTCCTGACCAAAAAAAAAATTTGTTGGATGTGTTGTTGTATAAGCCTTCCTTTGGAGAGAGGGAACACTTAGATATATACTATTAATATTTATAATCTGGATCATATTAGATGTCCTAGTCAGAACAGAAAAAAATAAACTAAAAAACTCAGGAAATAAAAACTATGAGGATTGCAAGAAAAGGAACAAAACTGCCCTTATTAACAGATGATATAATTATCCATACAGAAAAAGAAAAGAATTAATAAATGATTATAGTTAAGGGACTATATAGCATGGTTGCTAGATACAAGTTAATATACCAAAATAATTGATATCTTGATATCAAAATTCATAAAATTTTGATATCTTGATATCTCTTGATAGCAAAACAAAACAAAAATCTGCAAATTGTAACCTTGAAAAATACTCCATGATGAGAATTCCGCTTTTTGTCATGATGCAATAACTGGTATAGGATTAGCCCCCTTGCAGAAAACTGGAGAGTGTATAAGACAACTGTGTACAGATAATAGGCAGCAGACAGGCAGGACTGTAATTCTTGAAACAAATCAATTTAACAGTACCATCAGCACAGCTTTGACCTGGATGCATTTCTGAACCAAGGAGGGGGAGGGAGAACCCAGGCAGAGCTAGACAGTCTCACTGAGCTGAAGAAGAAACAAGAGAAGAGATGGGAGGTTCTGAAAGCTGAAGTGGCTGAACTTTTCAGTGCAGAATACTGGGGAGAAGAGAGCTACACAGAAAAAGAGCTATAGAAGTCTGCATAGGGGATCCATGAGTCTAGTTGAATACTAATCTGTGCATGTGAAAGGTACAGCTCCCTGGGGACAGGAAAGACCTGCTGCTGGAAGCCATGAGGTAAACAACTCCCAGAACTTGCATGGGCTGGGACAGGTTCAAGTTTTGAGGAGCCAGACTGGAGAGACCTTGTCAGACACCCAGGGCATGCATTTGAGACCCAGAAAGGCTGCTGTGTAGGAATCGTACTGCCCAGGCTACTCTGGAAGCTGAGTACTCTCAGGCTACCCCTCCTAATAAGCTTGGAAAGACCAGGCTGCTTCCAAAGGATATCACCTGCTGACCAGAACAAAAGGCTCACACTTTAAAGGACGACAGCAACATCAGGGCACAGGTAGCCTGCCCTGCGTCTCAGTTGAGTTTCACAAGGGAAAACTGAATGTATGACTGAACACTAGTAAGTAGGTCTGAGTACCGCCTTGAATCGGGAATCTGATATTTTGGAGCTAACTGTATTCTAAATAAGGTATAAGTATGTAAAAATTAACCAGTTCTGCACCTTGTCAGAAATGTGAGTATTTACAGCATTCTTCCTAAGTGTTTTACCCCAAATCATACTAAACCATATTAAATTAACTAGGCTGAATTAGTTGTTTAACTGCAAATTTGGAAAGAGAAGACACATTTGTTCAGAGTCACCCAACTAACCAGTGCGTGTGTGCATACCAAGTTACTTCAGTCCTATCTAACTCTGTGCAATCCTGTGGACTGTAGCCCGCCAGGCTCCTCTTGTCTATGGGATTCTCCAGGCAAGAATACTAGAGTGGGTTGCTGTGCCCTCCTCCAGAGGATTTTCCCTACCCAGGGATCAAACCTATGTCTCTTATGTCTCCTGCATTGGCAGGCAGGTTCTTCACCACTAGTGCCACGTGGGAAGCTCCAGTCAGTGTGTGTTAGTTGCTCAGTTGTGTCCAGCTCTTTGCGACCCCTTGGATTGTAGCTCACCAGGCTCCTCTGTTCATGGAGTTTCCCCAGGCAAGAATACTGGAATGGGTTGCCATTTCCTTCTTCAGAGGAACTTCCCAACCCAGGGACTGACCCTGGGTATCCTGCATTGCAGGCAGATCCTTTACCGTCTGAACCACCATTCTTTACCAGGGAAGCTGGTAACCAGTGTATGGTAGAGTTCTGTTTTCAATCAAGAATTCTGAAATCCTACACCAAAGATGTGAGGAAGTATTTGTGACTGAAATAGTAGTGGTACCATTAATATAAATAGCAGAATACTGATTTGGGTAAAATTTTACTTGTTTGTACAATATGTTGAATATAAGATTGATACTGCGGCATCAGAATGAAAATATCTGATGGATAAAGACTAAACATCAGGACAGTTAGAGCTGAATGTTTTACCTGTCATGTTAATGCTTAAATTCTGAGATCAGATGGCTTCTCTATTGCAGAGAGATGCTTAAAATGCCAAAATTCAACTTTGCACTAGACAGTAAAAGGTCAGGGAAGAGAAAGAAATAAGTAATACCTGCACTTCCCTTTCTCTCTTTTGTTTTTCTGCCATGTTAGAACTGGTTAAAATAAAGATTTTAAGTTAATTCAGTAAAAGAATATTTTAAAATTATATGGTCCTACCTATATTTAATGTTAAACTATTTTTCTAAAACAGCATTTTTTTGCCTTCCTTTATAGCCATCTTTCGACAGTTTTGGGAAACAAGTTTGATCATGGCGCTGAAGCCATTGTACCTACGCTTTTTAATCTCGTCCCCAATAGTGCAAAAGTCATGGCGACTTCTGGATGTGCAGCAATCAGATTCATAATTCGGGTAGGTTCTTTTCCTTTCTTTTTTTTTTTTTTCTGTCTTCCTCTGTGTGTCTGCCTGTTCATTTGTCTGTCTCTGTCTCTCTCTTTCAATGTACTGAAATAAATCATTGGAATTTTTTTAAACCCCAAGAAAAAAATTACTTTTGAATAATTTTTCTGATAATAAAAGTAATACACAGATATTAATGAAATTTAAATAGTAAAGAGGATTACAAAGTAAAGATGCTTGTATACAGAATATAATAGGCACAATATGCATGTGCATATGTGAGTGTGTGTGAGAATCATGTTACAGGTAGTAACAGGCAAATGTTAAACAGTAAAAATGTTACAAGCAGTGGTAAAAGAGGACAGCAGATTCTTAATATTTCTCATCATCCACCTCTTGAAGGTGCCAGAAGAAGAGTTAAAAACATAAAACTTCCCCACTTTAATTTTTAAATTTTGCTCTTCTACAAGTCACCACTCTAGCCATTCAGTATGTACTTTTCCAAACCTCTATTTTGTGCCTATACAAACTATATTTACTACAGAATGTAAGTGTAGCATTTATATTTTATATATATGTAAAAATAATGTTTTTTTACTCTTGCTTTTTAAACTTCATGTACTCAGGCAGCTTCTCTTGTTTAATTCTTTTTAATGTCTAAGTCAGTTCTTAGTTAAAGGGCATAATATTAAGCTGTCCTCACCATTTTTCTCCATGAAGTTTATGAAATTCTTTTTCTCCATCCTTTATCAACACTTTGTATTATTAGTATCTTAAAGGTTTTAAAATTTAATAATTAAAATATTGTTTCATATTACACTTTGCATTTCTTGGATTATTAGAAAACATTAGGTATTTTTTTCCTTTAATAGTTTTTCTTTTTTTCCCTTTAATAGTTTTTCTAAGGATTGCCAGTTTATAGTCTGAATTTTTTCCTCGCTTTTTTTCTAAGGCCTCCTTATATATGGGTTCTGCATCTGTGGATTCAACCAACCTCAAATCAGAAATATTTTGGGGGGGAAGAATTCTAGTGTGTTTCTAGTAAGCAAAACTTACTTTGCCTTCTGCTGGCATCTTAAGTACAACTGTGTGTGTACCATTTCCATTATATTACTAATTAAGTAATCTAGAGATGACAAAATATACAGGAAAAAAAAGTATAGGTTTTATGCAAAAAATTGTACCATTTTATGTAAGGGATTTGCATATCCCCGAATTTTGGTATCCTCAAAGGGTCCCAAAACCACCCCTGTGGACACTGAAGGACAACTGTATATTAATTTTATTTGTAAATATATTCTACTAGTTTGTCATTTCTTCATATATAGTTTAAGCTATCATTTGATATATATAGAAATTTGAAATTTTTCTGTTTTGAGACAATGCTATTTTTGTAGGTTTTGTATAGTTAAAACAACCTTCCCCTTTTCTCAGTTATAAAAATAATCAGTTTTTAAACCTTTTATGATTTTGTTTCTTAGGTTCAGATCTAACTTAATTTTATTTTTGTGTAAAATACGGGTATCTGACTTCGTTTTCCCCCAAATACAAAACCAGTTGACCCAGTGGTGTGTAGTAAATTATAGTTCAGTTGTTTCTTAAACTACCACTGTTTTCTTGTAGTAAGTTTCCATAAATGAACAGGTCTGTTTTTTAAATGCCTTTTCAGTTTTTTTTATCAATTTGTCCTCTCCTGTTAAATGGTGTTTCTTTCTAATGCTGCTGTACCAGGTGTTTTTCAGCAGTAAGATCTAGTGCCTATGATGAAATCTGTGAATCTGTCTCTGAAAATGTCCCTTTTCTTTCTGTTTTGATGTTTTTGTGAGCTTCACTAAACTTGGCACCTTCACAACAGAGTTCAAAACTAGTAGAAATGATTGAAATCTTAATTTTTTTCTCTGAGTTTAATAGGAGTGCTTTAAATATGACCTCTGGGATGAGTTTTTGGATATTCTGGATTAGGTCTGAGAATTTCCTCCAATTTGTATTTTGCCAAATTTTGGTCAGTAGTAGATGTGGAATCTTGTCAGATATCCTTTTAGAAATGATTGTCTCTCTTCATTTATCCATTGTACATTCATGAAATGGATTCTGCTTGGCCATTTTACATTATGATACTGCTAGATGCAGTTGGCTAATACTTTAAGAAGACTGACATGAGGATGTATACTGTTAATTTACAAAAAGTTTCTTCTACCATGGTTATATTACCATTTTGTATTATATTATTATATGTTCTTTTTTTAAAAAAAAAAAGAAAAGAACATACTTGCTAGAGGTATTGTTAAGAGATTTTTTATAAGCTTCAAATTTGTTACATTGGTCCCAATGGGGTTCTTTGAATTTTTTCTAGTTGTTTAATTTCTATATTTGTGTTTCTTAATTCCTTTATTTGACTTGCTATGGCTTGCTTCTTTTTTTCCCTAGATTTTTGTGGTATGTTCTCAGTTTGTCATAGTTTTTATTGTTTAATAGCATAAGACTGTCTTATCATAATGTTTTGTTCTGAGTTTGGCATTAGCAGCATCCAACGATTTAGATTTACCACACTGTATTTTATATTTCTCAGTCATTTGTAATTTCCATTTCAACTTTCTCATTGAATTACATAAGGATATTGTTTGCATTTTCAGATGGTTCTTTTGTTCTTATCATTTTGTAATTTCGTGACATTCCGATCAGAGAATTTGGTGGTACAATTTCTTCGTTGAATAACCTGAATTTTGTTAGTATCTGAGTACATCATATGTTTAGATAGGTAGTCTTTTAGTATTTGCAAAATATGGAATTCATTTATAGAGTGCTTTATTCATTGCTAAGTCTAGTTTGTTCATAATAGTTCTTTATGGTCTTATTTTTTGAAAAAGTCTTATTTTCTTAGAAGTTTCTTGTTCTTTGACAGTGTCAAGAATAAATTCTCTTTTACTCGCCCAGCCTTTTAAAAAGTATATATTTTTTAAAAAATAAAAGTACATATATTTATATTATTTATGTCATTTTTTTCCTCTTAACCACCAAATTAATTTCCAACAACTAAAGTTGACTATGGTGAAGTTTTTTTTTTTTCTGCTTTTATTCCTGCCCAGTCTTTATTAGGACTCTTCCCATTAAAAATATTTGCTTGATTTTAGTGTGTTCTCAGTTTTCATAGATATTTATCTTTTCATATTTCTAAATGGCTTTGCTTTGCCACTATACAAGAATTCAAAAACTGGACTTCAGGTTCACATTTGTTTTCTCTCAGAATTATCTCCTTTTCACAAAGAATTGTTTTCTTAACTCTTTATTGTTTTTATAGTGAGATGTTGTTTGATTCTTTTATTTAAAAACAGCACCACCAAAAAAAAATAAATAAATAAAAATAAAAAATAAAAACAGCACCACCACCACCTTAGGAAGCTTTGTAGGAGATTCTGTTAGGAGTTCCCTCACAGCAGGTCTAGGAGTTGATCATCTTTCATTTGTGCTGTCTTTACACAGAAGAGCAAGATTTCTGACTGAAATGAAGTTTCTTCAAATTTATGTTAGTTTTCGTGTATTATTTATTTATTGCTTCTGTTTGTTTCCTGTCTTTCAGTTGTATATGTTCTCAGGAAAAATCCTTTAAATTCTACTTACATTTGACAGTACCCAATTTGCCATTTTTAGGTTTGTTTATACTTTATGTATTGTTTTCAAATTGCCCATTTTTCATGAGCTTGTCTCATGTTATTGAAACAATAACATGTCCCATCGTCTCAGAAAATACAAATCAGGTTGTTGTTGTTTTACATTATTTCCTGTTTTCTATATTTTTGTTTGTTTCCCAGGGGACTGCTTCTAAGTTGTTCTGATTTAGTATTTGGTTGAATGCATCATCTGTAATTGTGAGGATCACTTATTTTCCTTTGGAATAGCTCCACTGAATATGGTGTAGCAATAAGTTAGTCTCTAGTCTCATCTCTGCCACTGTGTTGTTTAAGAGTTAATCAGCAGCAGTAGGATTTTGAGATCATGAGAGAGAGGAGGAAGAAGGTAGGTGAGACCTGCTGTGTGGTATGTTGTGGCTAGAAAGTCCCCTTGGGCTTTCTTTAACTCCTCAGTAATGTTTGGGGATGAGTTCTTCTGGATGCTCAAATAGAAATAAAGTACATGATAAATGTAATGTGTTCGAATCTTTCCAAAACCATCACATCCCCCCATTGCCCTCCCTCCCGCACCCCCCAACCTGTTCATGGGAAAATTGCCATCTACAAAACCAGTCCATGGTGCTATGGGAGCCCGTCAACAGAGCCCTTCCATACTGGATATAGCGGTTGGATAATATGCAGATCAGCACTGTGTTGCACTATCCTCATCTTCAACAACTTCAGGTCTTTTGGTGGCTTCCCTCTTGTCAGAGGTGAAAAAAGTTTTCCCTCTGCATTGGTTGAGTTCGTTGTGGCCTCTCACTTTTTCCTTCACTCGAAGACTTCTTTCCTCACAAGTGTGGAAGCACTGTGGGCTGACCGCCTTCAGCTGCAGCCTCTTCAAGGCCTTCCTCAGCTTTCAGAGATCGGCCTTTCCTGAAGTCTTGCCCCTTCCTGGTTGTGGCACATAACCAGTAAACCGATGGACGTGGAAGAGTAGAGTTTTGGCCATCTTAGGCCATTTTGAGACTTTCTTCCAGAGCACCCCAGTGACTCTGGGTAAAGAGGTCCTTGGGCTGTATCACAGATTGATTTCTCCTTTGCCTGTTCCTGCTTCCTTCTCACTTCTACCAGTGTTGATCCCCAAAGCACTGCTTAATATTTAAAAGGCTGAACTCCATCTTACAGCCTGCTTCCTAGGTAACCTGGCCTGTACCATCAGCTCAGAAGAAAAATGGGAGATTTAAAGCGTCAGATATGTATCCTTAGGTTACTGTTTTATGTTAATGTCCCTTGTGAACTTTTTAGTGTTTGCTTTACTAAAGAAGAGGTGGCTCAGGTGGTAAAGAATCTGCCCATAATACAGAAGAAAGACCCTGGTTCGATCCCTGGGTCGGGAAGATCCCCTGGAGAAGGGAATGGCAACCCACTCCAGTATTCTTGCCTAGAAAATAATCCAAGTAACAGAGGAGCCTGGTGGGCTACAGTCCATGGGGTCACAGAGAGTCAGACACAACTGAGCGACTAACACACAAACACTCTCACTAAAGAAGAATGTAAGAATTACTCATAGAAATCAGAAGATTATATACCTGAATTCTAGAGAGCTGTGGTTCAGCCAGGATGAAAGTTGAGTTAAAATCACCATTTCAAAGTGCATTCTTAATAATTATGCAGATTCACTCTGATAACCTGCTTTGATGACATAGCAGTTACTGTGCTCTCCCGCAGTAGCCGTGGTACATCAAAAAATAAGACCAGGATGTGTCTGGTTCCCCCCAGAGTACACTGTCCTAACAGTTCTCTGTAGTTATCAATTAACTTGTCCTTATTATTTAATATTACACCCACATCTGCCCCTCTGAAATTGTATCATTACTATTACTTTAATTTGGGAAAACCTTTTGACTGGACTTAATTTCTTTCAAAATCTGATTTTATGGTTATTTTTGTTCTTTTCTAATGTAGCTAAATACTTGAATGCAAAGCAAGTAGAGGAAGAGATTATGTAAGGTACATGGTATTTCTCAACCTCTTCTAAACTGTCTTTTTCAGCATACTCATGTACCCAGACTTATACCTTTAATAACAAGCAATTGCACATCGAAATCAGTTCCTGTAAGGAGGTAAGTTTTGAAAAAATTTAGTATAGCTTTATGTTGAATATTGCATTATGTCTGATTCTTAGTTGGGCACAGAATTTAGTTGTCATCAATTTCTTGCCTTCTAGAAACCTTATTAAAGTTTTTTATTTTATGTAAGGAAAAAAGGAACAAAGTGCTTATTATGACTATCCACATTTTTTGGCCTTTTTGTATTAAAGTGTGTCTGTGAAAGTCGCTCAGTCGTGTCTGACTCTTTGCGACCCGATGGACTATACAGTCCATGGAATTCTCCAGGCCAGAATACTGGAGTGGGTAGCCGTTCCCTTCACCCAGGGACCTTCCGAACCCAGGGATCAAACCCAGATCTCCCACATTTTGGTTTATTTGGGCCACTATTTCTTTGGTTTTCGGAGAGTTTGGAGTCCAGAGTCATTCCTCACCTAGAATCCTGCAGCTTTGACTGACCCTCCTGCCTCGGGCAGTCACTTAATTGCCGCAAACCTCAGTGTCTATGATGTTAGTGGGTCTAATGATGTGGACCCCATAGAGCTGTGAGGGCTACATGAGAGGGACGCTAGAAGACATGAACATAGTCTTTGGCACAGAGCATATAGCCATAACGTCAGCCTCAATATCTGTCTCATTATTTCTACAGTCTTTGATATCACTGGCATCATCACTAGCACCATTAGTATTAAAGACAAAAAGTAAGATTTGTGTATTGGATATTTAAGGAAATTGTAAAAAACTCTTTCCCCTTTTTTGTTTGATAAGTATGTTTATTTAAGTACTTTGAATGTTTGGAAAAATAAGACATCATTGTTACCTGTAAGTGATTTGGAATTTGGGGACAGTTGTTTAATTACCTCTCTCTTATATCAGGGTCAGCAAATGACAGTCCATTGGGCAGATCTGTCCAACAGTCTAGTTTTGTACAGGCACAAGCTAAGACTGTATCTTAACATTTTTGAAAGGTGGGGAAAAAAAATGAGATAGAGACTGTGTTGTTCTCAAAGCCTAAAATATTTGCTGCCTGAAATATTTACTCTCAGGCCCTTTATAGAAAAGATTTATCAGTCACTGTCTTACACTGAATAAACTGGTAATTGGAAAAATTGGGAATGTGACAGAGAAGAGGAAGTCAGGAAATGCGTCATAGAATTATCCTGAAAATGGGGAGCATTTCAGTACCTGTAAGGGAGGTAAGTGGGGTGTAGGCAGAGATGGAAAGTTATGCTGCAGGCTGCAGAGCCAGTGAACAGGCCACTGAGGCCAGAAGATGTGATAATGGGAGGGTTCAGTACGGGGAAGAGGGGGTGGGTAGAAGTCAGGGTATAGAGGGCTTTGAACAACTGAAAGAGAAATTCCGATATTGTTTCATAAGCAGTTTCTGGTGAGAAGTAATGTCATCCATCCTAGTTTCTATTCCAGCTGTGAGCAGTGATTAAAAAGGGACAATGAGAAGCATTGGTTTAATTAAGTGGGACTTCTTACATCTCATGGAAGAGACGGGGTGCAAAAGTGGAGCTGTATTTGTGATAATTGACTGAAGGAGGTTTTATTCAGTAAATTCAAGAGATTTCAGACAGAATTGAGACGTGATTATTGGATGTGAATGAGGGAGGTGATGTCAACTGCTTCAAGCTGTGATCGCTAGAGTTAGAATGTCTGGGTTTAAGTCCCAGCTCTGTCACTATGGGCAAATTAGTTTAACTTCCGTGTTATTTCCTGATCCGTACCATATGGACTCCACGAGTAGATTGCGAGGGTAAGGATTAATGTGTTGCTTTGTATGTAGTGTTTGAGTTGACATCATGGCTTTCTTGGTCACCATTCTGTGTCTTCAGTTTCTAGTGCATAGTAGGTGTTTGATAAGTATCTTTTAAATTAAGTTAAATTTTATATCTGACAAACATTTTCAAGTTAAAATTAAGGTCTTTTTGAACTATTAAGCATAGGAATAGTTGGAGTCTTAAAAAAAGTTAAGTATTTGAGAGTAAAGATATCTAAAAATATGTTTTATACTCTAATTCAGAAGACAAAATGCAGCATTATAGAAGAAAGTATTAATTAACATTCAGTTGTAAAAGTATATAACTGAGTATTAATGTTGCAACATTTAGTTAATAGTAAATTTTTATTTTTCAGGCGTTCATTTGAATTTTTAGATTTATTATTACAGGAGTGGCAGACTCACTCATTGGAAAGGTATGCATCGACTCTTTCGCCTCCACCACTCTCCCCTCCCCTTTGTCATCAGTTCTTTAGAAATTGATAGTATGGTTTTGCATTTTTCTCATTTTCCTTTTTTTTTTTTTCTCATTTTCCTTTAAAAGTTATTTGTACTGATTTTCCTTTAAAGATGAGGTGCTCCTCTTACTCATTGCATCTGTGATTTTCTTCTTTGTGGGGTGAATGAGGGTCTCTTAGGTAAATGGGCAAGGTTATATAAGAAATTCCAGGTTAAATTGGGCAAGAAATTCCAGGTTATATAAGAAATTCCAGGTTAAATTGGGCAAGTATTTTAAAATGTATCTCTAGTCATATAAGATAGGTTTCCCAAGGTGCAATTAATCAAGTAATGAATGATTTAGGATAGAAGAAAGGCACTTCTTTTTAGAGCAAAGAGATAAAAAACGTGAGAGAGGTTTGTTGGCAGATTTCTCCACACCAGCTGTCAGGTGTCATTGGGCAATGTTTATCCTGGGCAATGTTTAGTGAAGCTCTGCAGTGAGAAAAAGGAAAATATGGGCAGCTAGTCAGTCACTGGCTATTTGTATGGCTGTATTTCTCATTTGTTTCACATATGAAGCTTGGGATATACATGTATTTATGTTGAATACATTGCTGATTTTCCATTCTTATGGAAAGCATTAAATCTATTCACAACCCACTTTTAAAAAATAGAATGTGTTGTTTACTGCAGGCATGATATAATTCCAAGTTTTCTTTAAGTTCTTTCATGGCAGCTGCTATCCAGTTTGGTTAGATTGTAACTCATTGTACTATTACCACATTTCTACACTGGTAGGTTAGTGAGGAACTGCACAAAAGATTTTCTTTAATTCATGAGAAATTTAAAATTTTAGTACTGTTTATCTGGACTCCATATAAAAATAATTATGTTCAGGTTTATAATGTTTGACTTGTCAGAAGGAAACCATACATGAGCAAAATATGTGGGGTGGATTATTAGGAAATCTTACTATCTTAGATTCATTATTATATACTAGTTACCTTTATTCTCTCCTTTGCCTATTTGTGATTGATGTGTAATATATAGTATATAGGCAGTATCACTTGTGGTGAAATAAATAGTTTTATACACGAATCTAAAGTTACTTTATTTTATAGGCATGCAGCTGTCTTGGTTGAAACTATTAAAAAGGGAATTCATGATGCTGATGCTGAGGCCAGAGTGGAGGCAAGAAAGTAAGTCTATAAGGTATTTTTGTGGTGGTTTAAACATACTTTGGTCTTTTCTTCAACAGAAATTATAGTGGGAGAATGAAAATATTGAAAGTGTCCCAAGTATTGTATTTGATTCACTCTTTAGTGAAATGGAGGTTGATTTTACTCCATTAAACCTGTACTGGTTGTCTTAACAGTTCATTTAGCCTTGTTGTTTATATATCTATCAGTATTCGTATTACATCATAACATATTCACTTTTGTTGTGAATAAAAATAACTAATTTACTGAGCATTTGTTATGTACCTGATACTTTCTAGGGCAGTAGGTATATGTTCTTTTCTAATCCTTGAAATGATCCAATGAAGGTGCTATCTCCTTTGGTAACTGAAGTTTGGAGATCTGGAAGTTTACACAAGGCCACCCAAATTGTAAAGATTACAGTCAGGTTTTGAACTGAGATCTCCTTTTCTCAAAAACCTGTTGTCTTCCTCCAAAAACTTGTTTAATTTAGAAAGTATTCACTTGGCACATTGTGGCTGTATTAAAAATCTTTGTTGTTAAAAACTTTTGCTCATCTTGAATATACACAGTTTACGGTTAATGTGTAATCATGCAGTTATTTCTTTAAGGTGTTTTTTTTTTTTTTTTTAGGAAAAACCCTTAAATTTTGTTATTTATTTGTTTTACAGGACATATATGGGTCTTAGAAACCACTTCCCTGGTGAAGCTGAAACACTGTATAATTCCCTCGAGCCGTCATATCAGAAGAGTCTTCAGACTTACTTAAAGAGTTCTGGCAGCGTAGCATCTCTTCCACAATCAGACAGATCATCATCTAGCTCCCAAGAAAGCCTCAAGTAAGGTCATATAAATGATCATTACTGATTACTTCCTCTTTTCAGCTCCACAGAGTTCCTTCAGTTGGATGGTTGAGTATCTGATTGCTTTCTTCTTAAAGCCTTGAAAGAATGGTAACTGAATGTGCTTTTTTCCTTTAGTCTGTTGCCTCAGGGGTTGGATTACATGCTTGTATAACTTTTTCTCTTTGGGTTCAGTTTAGGGATTCAAAATTTGTGCGAACATGTTCAGACATGTTTTGTTAGAATATGTTGATGTCTTTGAGAAAGATTGGAAAGCAGTAATTTGTATACTTTTTTTTAATACACCCAAAATAGTTCATATAGTAAGTAGCCCATTTCTCGGGCACTGCTGTGGAAGAATTATAATGGAGATTCAGAAATCGTCTTTAGAACTTTTACACAGCACTGTGTGACTGGTAAAAATGCCATTACTCTTTCCTCGTCTCTGGCATAGTTTGAGATTTCAGCAACTCCCTCCAGGGGGCAAAATTATCTATAGTGTCTGACTGACTTCTCTGTGACACCCCTCTCATCATTATGCTGGCCACCTCAAACCTTTGCTGCCTTGGCAGTTATACCCTATTTTTTGTTTCTCTAGCCCTATAAGATGGCTAAGATCCCTAGCAGTGGCCACAGATATCTGCAGATTTCTCCAGGGGAGAGCAGTTCACAGAATATCAGTCTGCCTCGCTGTAGTTGCTGTGTCTTTAGGGTCTTTGCCCCCACAAAGACTGCTAGTTGCCTTGGCAACTTCCTCATCCAGGACAGGTACCAGGGTGGGCAGGAGAGGTATCTGGGGCACAATTGCAGGAAGTACTCACAGGATCTTATGAGTACTGCAGTAAATAAGAGTTCAGTGACTTATAAGTTTTCAGAGTAAAAGAAGATACGATTTGATTTTAAAAAATAATCACTGTAGGAATAATTGTACTTAAACTTCTATTTAAATCTGTGATGACTCCTTCACCTTGAGTGAGCTCTGTTGCTTCCCCTTACTCTTACTCGCTTTACTCAAACTCTGTATGTGAGTTGGCTGAAGATCGTTGCTAAAGTGCAGAATCTGAGTCAGTAAATCTGGGATGGGGCCTGAGATTTTTGCATTTTTTGCATCACACATTCCTAGGTGATGTCATTGCTTTTTGTCTATGGACCATTCTTTGAGTAGCAAAGGTCTGAATAAGATATTTTATCTTACTCTAGTCGAACATCTTTAAACATAAACGACTTTGAAATCTGTGAACTTGAATCAATCTGCCTCAACATAACGGTTTTAGGAGACAGTAATAAAAATAATATTGGGTTTGATAACGAAATGCCAAATTTACCATTTAATAATAACAACTTAGGGCTTCCCTGGTGACTCAGACGGTAAAAAATTGGCCTGCAGTGTGGGACACCTGGAAAATTCCATGGACAGAGGAGCCTTGTGGGCTGCAGTCTGTGGGGTCACAGAGTTGGACACAGCTGAGCAACTTACACACAGTAATAACTTAAGAATATTTTCAGTAGTCTGACATTAACCTCTCTTCCCCTCACGTTTAAAATTTGTAGATAAGGAATTCCCTGGCAGTGCGGTGGTTAGGACTGTGTGCGCTCACTGTCACGGACCCAGGTTCAGTCCCTGGTCTGGGAACTAAAAAAGCCACAAGCCGACTTCTCTGGTGGTCCAGCGGTTAAGAATCCCCCTGCCAGCTTGGAGAATACAGACCCGACCTCGGGTCTGGGGAGATTGCACATGCCGCAGGGCAGCTGAGCCTGCGACTGCTGACGCCGCGTGCTCTAGGGCCCGAGCTCTGCGGGAGACGCCGCCACACCGACAAGGCCTTGAGCCACAGCGAGGGGAAGCCGGCACAGCAGCGACGATCGAGCGCAGCCGAAGATAGAAAATTTTTAAAAATCCCACAAGCCACACAGCATGACAAGCAAACGAATAAATCATTAATATAATAAAATAAAATAAAATTCATAGATACACTTTCCAGACCCTATTACGTACTTAGATATGTTTATTTTGGGGCTTCAGAGTACCATTGTAGTTAAAGGTAAATAATCAGAAAAGATATTAAAGGAAGCAGTGGATTCTTTTGAAATGATTCTAATCATATTAATACATGTTACCCTCAGCAGTAGTTTGTAGCTTTGTTTCTCTTGCTGCAGACAGTAACACTTAATAGCACCACTGTAGATGGTGTTATATCTACATAGTAATTGCTTGACTTGCCAGTGGCCACAACTGTTATGACTTAGATGCTGGAGGCTTTGGTTTCACTGAGCTCCCTGTGTACTGGTAATAATACTCCCTCTCTCTCCTTCTAAGTAAAATACCTCAGAATAAAATTGTTGGAGAGTGCCATTATTGAGTTCCCTGTTACAATATGTGTGCCGAGGACAAGAGTGAATAGCAGCCACCTGGTCCCTGATTCTGTAGAGCTTACAATCTTCATTCAGTGCTAGTTATTTCATTTTTGCTTCACAGCTAATTTAGATGCCATTGATACATGACAACTGTTCTGAAGTGATTTGTAAAAGAAAAATTGAAATCAAGTTCTTCTCAACTCTTCAGAAATCTCAGTGGTATTTCATTAAGTGTTGTCAGAAGAGTGATAAATTATTAAAAGTATTTCTTTTTACCTTACAGTCGCCCTTTTTCTGCAAAATGGTCTACAGCAAACCCATCTGCTGTGGCTGGAAGAGGTAAATTACCTTTTTAAGAGTCATAGCATATTTTACTTAATAAAGTAAAAGTGACTTTATAAATTAAAGTTACTGTGTGAAAAGCTTTTCTCAGAGTGTCATCAAGAATTAAAGTTTTCCTTAAAAGTTTTTAAAGCACATTAGAACTGTTTAAAAGCTAAACAGTTAAAAACAATAGCTTTTAAACTGTTTTAATGTGACCCACAAGGAGAAAATCATTTTACATAGTAACTACCACATATATACACTTTACTACCTGTGTTTGTATACCATATACATATTACGTACAATGTATTGTATGTAATTTTATACCTAGAACATACCTGTAATATGTAGTATATTATATGTCAGTATATGTGTATAGTATGGTCTGAAGTTCCAGGAAGTCTGCTTACCTTTACTTATGACACACTCTGTTTTTCTGTTTTGTTTCGTTTCTTTAAAGTGCCATCCTGACCCACTCAGTTAATTTCAGAGCCTTATGAATGGGCCATAACTCAGTTTATAAAACTCCTTATTAAAACTGAAAAACAAACACCAGAAATTTAATGACTTAATTTGCATTGCCTGAGAGTGACAGAGCCTGAGTTGTTTTCTGCATTATCTTATCCCTGGACTAGTGCTGCTTGCTCTATTTTTATGGTCGAACAGCAGCTCTGCTGTCGTCTGTTTATCTTGTGTAGCACTTCAGTTTCATGAATCAGTTGTAAATATCATCTTTTCATTTACCAAACAATCCTAGGAAGTTTTACAAAGTATGGTTATTTCTTCCCATTTTTTTGGAAGGGGGAAATGAGGCAGAGAAATATTAAGAAAATTGTCCAAGATTTACTTGCAACAACATTTAAACTGAGGCATCCTGATTTTAAAGTACTTTTCTAGTATCCATATGGCCACTATTTCCTTTTTGGATCATCGTTCATTAGCTTGTGGTGATTTCAAGTTTATATAATTTTTATGCCATTTGCAATGATGAAAATAATACAGGTTACCTTTCCTTTGTTTTTCATAGTATCAGCAAGCAGCAGCAAAGCCAGTTCTCTTCCTGGAAGCCTGCAGCGTTCACGAAGTGACATCGATGTGAATGCTGCTGCCGGCGCCAAGGCACATCACGCTGCTGGACAGGCTGTGCGAAGTGGGCGGTTAGGTGCAGGGGCCCTGAATCCAGGTTCCTATGCATCACTAGGTAAGATAGCTCACTATAGAAATTGTACTGCATTTTCTCCCTGGTCTCAGGAAACTAGTGAACCATTGTCAATTTCAGTAACTCATTATGATGATATCTTTATCATCTTTATTTCATTCTTTCTAATTATGAATAGTCCATACATTTTATATGATTCTGTCCTTGGAATGTAGTTCTGAGATATCTAAAATGCCTTATTTCTCCTTCTCTTCCTAATCATCTTGATCAAAGGAACAGTTCTTGATTCCTTTATTTGCCTGTAGAATTTTCACAGTTCTGCACTACTGCCACTTTCAGCTGCTGGTTACTGAGGAAGTTTGGCCTAGTACCCAGCTTCTCCATTCCCCTTCTCCTATCTCTGTTCCCTTCCCAAGAAGGTAAAGGCTTTTGGGAATGTGGGAAAACTGCAAAGCTTAATCATAATCAAAGCTTAAAACATACATCCCCAAAGCCATTCAGAGTTTGTTTTTTATATCCATCAGCCTTAAAAGTTTCAGGTTGGTTAGCCGTATTATTTGTCTTACTTTTGTGCTTCATCTTCCTTTCTCTTGAGTAGTGGTAGAACACTAGGCAGGCAAACCATTGGCAGTCACAGGAAAGGCAGAGATTCTGGGTGTGTGTGCAGCACATGATAAAGGTGGCGTAGCTGCATCCAGTGAGGAAAGCATGTTATTCATCAAATGGTGTTTAGACACATGGCTTGCAATCTGGTACAAAACTAGGTTAGAATCACATTTTACACTGTATAACAGTTTATTCCAGGTGACTAAAAAGTTGAACAAAAATATAAAGCAACTTGATGAAAACATAATAGTTGAGTATTCATCTAGTCTCAGGTTGAAGAAGACATTTCTAAGCATAAAAGCCAAAAAACCATGAGGGAAAAGTCACTCAGGTTGAAATCTGAGTGTAAAAATATAAAACAAGTGGCTGAAAACAGAAAGGGAAAAAGGTTTTGCCACGTACTGCAAAAAAAGCTAAAATGTCTCCAAGTTTTATACATCTTGGGAAAACAGAGGGCTTATTTTTGTAGAAAAAAAAATTTTTATATATATCAAGAAAATCATATTTCAGAGTTGCCACCAAAATATCAGAACAGATATTGAACCTCATTTGTACTCAAACAGATGCAAATTAACCTGTAAATAAAACAAGAAAGTTTGAGTTAATGACTTCTAGTCATAAAGAATGCGGTTAACAGTACAGATGTGAAATCATCATGGAGCAGTTTTATTTGAGTGGCATTTTCATGATACCCATGAAACTTTAAAAAAAAATGTTCAATGTTTTGCGCCTATAGTCCAGTGGTTTTAGATAACTATGCCAAGAAATAAAAAGAACATTTATTATGTTTTTAATGATGTATTAGATTCAAGTTTGATATGTTAAAAGGGGAAATGTTTAAGTTATGGCATACCCTTATATATCAAATGCAGCCACTGACAAGTCATATTTTTAATAAAGATCAAGTGATATATCCTACCAAAAAATGTATGACAATTTCATCATTTTGTCTACATACATAGATGAAGGACTGGGCAAATATGGTTTTTTGTAAGATTCATCTATATCATTGCATGTAGCTAAAGTTCCTTTATATTTCTATATACAATGTTATATTGTATGAATATATCACAATTTAGTTTTCTGTTGGTGGCCGTCTTGGTTGTTTCCTGGTTTCTTTTTGTTATTATGAATAATACTTAGGAACATTTTTATTTATAGGACTGGACAAAAATGTTGACAAAGATGTCAACAGTGGGTTGATCACTGCTTTTAATTTTCATAAAACTTTTCTGTATTTGAAACATTACCTTGCTAGAGATGCATTATTATTTCAGTATATGAAAATCAGTCAATATAATATACCTTGTAGTAGAACAAAGGACAAAAACCACATGATCACTAGATGCAGAAACGGCATTTGACAAATTCTGTCACCCTTTTATGATAAAAATACTCAATAAACTAGGATAGAAGGAAACTTTCTGGGCCTGATAAAGATATCTGTGAAAAATCCACAGCTATCATATATGACATGATGAAAGACTGGATGCTTCCCTGAAAATCAGGAACAAGATAAGGATGTCCACTCTTGCCCTTCGTAAGAGCATTGCCATGGAAATTCTAGCCAAGTCAGTTAGGCTAGAAAAAGAAATGAAAAATATCGAGATTGGAAAAGAAGTAAAACTTGATCTTACGTATAGAAAACATGATCATATATATAGAAAATCCTAAGAAATTCACAAAAAACTATTAGAGCTTATTAATGAGTTTAGCAAAAGTTGTAAAAGATAAGATCAATGTGCAAAAATCAGTTGGATTTCTAGGTAGAACGCTTTACCACCTGAGCTATGGGAAAAGCCCTCAGTTGGATTTCTAAATGCTAGCAGTGAACAGTCTGAAAATAAAGTAAGAAAGCAATTCCAAAGACAATAACCTCAAAAAGGAAAAATACTTAGGAATCTATAATATAACAGAAGAACTGTAAGACTTCTCTAGGAATAACCACTCCTGTGTTTCTCCTTTACTCTCATACTCACACTGCTGACACTAATGTGTGGAATTTCACACCAAGCAATTCTCAGACTACAGCTGGGTATCCTTCAATGCAATTCACTTGTGACATAATCTATATTAACACAGGCCTCACAGGTTAAAGGCTCCCTCCCTGACTCACCCACACTTCAGATGTCAACTGCAAGTCCAGGTTGTTACCTGTGCTTCTGACCAACTGGCTATAAGTCAGAGGTGCTCTTGCCCCCCTCCTTTACAGAGGGTATTGAAGGATATGAATGAGCAGTCGGATGAAGAGATATCGGGGATGAGGTCTGGAAAAGTCTGAAGCCCAGAGCTTCTTTGCCTGTGGAGTTGCAGTGTACCACTCTGCCAGTGTATGGCTGTGTTCACCAGCCAGAACCTCTGAATCTTGTGCTTTTGGCACTTTTATGGAGGCTTCATCACACAGTCTTAATTGATCATTTACGTGGTCTCCAACTCCACGCCCCTTCCCAGAGGATGGAGGATGGGCTGAAAATTCCAGGCTTCAGACCATGGTTTCATCTTTCTGGGACCATCCCACATCCTGAAGCTATCCAGGAGCCCACCAGGAAATGCCTCATTAGAACAAAAGACACTCCTGTCACCTAGGAAACTCCTCGGAATTTAGGAGCCCTGTCACATACCAGGCTTCCCTGGTGGCTCAGATGGTAAAGCGTCCGACTGCAATGCGGAGACCAGGGTTACGCACCAGGTCACCAGCAGTAAATATTAGAACAAAAGGTACTCCATCCTACCACCAAAGAAATTACAAGGGAGTTCGGAGCTCTGTGCCAGGAATTAGGGCCATATGTGTGTTTTCTTTCGCATTTGTACACTGAAAACTACAGCACATTGTTAAGAGAATTTAAAGATCTAAATAAATGGAAAGACATTCATTGTTAAGATAGGAAATTGACCTATGGACTCAATGTAATCCCTCTCAAAAGTCCAGCTGCCTTTTTACAGAAATTGACAAACTGCTCCTAAAATTCATATGAAAATGCAAAGGATCCAGAATAGATGAAATGATCTTGGGGAAAAAAAGAGCAAACTTGGTATACGCACACTTTCCAATTTCAGTACTTCAAAGCTACAGTAATTCAGTCTATGTGGTACTGGCATAAAGATAGACATATACGCCAATGCAAAGTATTGAGAGTCCAGAAATAAACCCATATATCTCTGATCAGTTGATTTTCAACAAGGGTGCCAAAACCATGCAGTAGAGAAGAATTGTTTTCAACAAATGGTGCTGGAACCACTGGATAACTACATGCCAAGAAATGAATTTGGACCCCTACCTCATACTGTATCCAAAATATTAACTCAAAATAGATTAAAGACCCAAATGTAAGAGCTACAGCTATAAAGCTCTTAGAAGGAAACACCTATATAAATCTTCATGACCTTGAATGATGCGATGTTTTCTTAGATACTTTACCAAACACACACAACAGCAGAGAAGCTTTATCAAGCTTGGACTTCATCAAAATTGAAAATTTTGTTTCAAAGGGTACCATCAAGAAAGTGAAGAGAAAAAAAAAAAAAGTGAAGAGACAACACACAAAATAGAGAAAATGTGCAAATCATGTATCTGATTAAGGACTTCGACCTTAAATATATAGAGAATTTTTATAACTAAGTAACAAAAAGACAATTCTGTTTAAAAAATAGGCAAAGGATTTGAATACACATTTCTCTAAAGACAATATACAAATTACCAATTAAAGCACATAAAAAGATGCTCAACATCATTAGACATTAGGGAAATGAAATTCAAAAGCACCTCTTCATACTCACTAGGATGGCTGGTGAAGATATGGAGAAATTGAAACATCACATACTGCTCATGGAGTGTAAGCAGAACCACCCTGGGAACAGCTTAGCAGTTTCTCAAAAAGTGAAACATAAGAGTTATGATGTGACCCAGCAGTTCCACTCCTAGCTGTTTACCCAAGACATATGAAACATATGTTCTCATTAAAATATATACATGAATAAATGTTCAAGCAACATTATCCATAACAGCCCTAATGTAGATACAATGAAACGGAATGTTACTCAGCCATAAAAAGGATCATATTACATAAAAATGAAATACTAGTGCATCCTCTAAGATAGATGGAACTTGAAAGCATTATAAAGTTAGGTACAAACTGGCACATTTTATGATTCCATGTACATGAAATGCCTAGAATAGGTGAATCCACGGAATCATAAATTAGTTGTTGCTAAGTGATGGGAGTTGGGAAAAATAGAGGGTGACATCAGTGGGTGTAAGATTTCTTTTTGAGGTGATGAAGGTGTTCAGGAATTGGATATTTATGAGGGTTGTGCAGTCTTGTGAATATATTAAAAGCACTGAATTGTGTACTATGAAAGTGAATTTTATGGTACATGAATTATACATTAATTTTTTAAGTGGGGAAAATGGGAAACAAAATTTACCCATTGTGAGTCTTAACAATAAAAACATTTCATAGCTTTTATTTTTTAGTACTAGGAAAAAAATACTCAATTTGAAATGTTTTAATGTGAATTTGAAAGCCATTTGCCGCAATGTTTTTTTCATAAGCAATTCAGAACAGTGCCATGAGATTCCTTAATTTGTTTCTTTGGTTCCTTAAGGTTTGAAGGGCATGTTTGCTTTCTTACAGAAGGGAAAGGTACCCTCTGTCCTCTTTTTTTTCATTCTGACCCAGGATCACCCTCAGGGACAATGAGATACTTGCCTGTGGCTCTTTCCAGGGCTTAAAGAATAGATTTTCTCATCCTTTCTATTTCTGTGTCTTTTTCTCTTTTCCTTCCTGTCTTCCTTCCTTCCCTCCCTCCCTCCTTTCCTCTCTTCTTCCTTCCTAGACGCCCTCCTCCCCTCTTTCTCACCTTTCTTATACGGATGTGACTTGTGTTTTCTTTGTTTTCTTCACTTTGATTCTTGTTTATTATAGCTGCACATTTATGGATCCAGAGATGATATGCTTCTGTATTGAAATAGTCTCTCGGTCCATCAGCAGGTTGCTAAAGGATAAGCAGCTGAAAGCTTGTCGAGTTCTATGCATTCTGAGTTTGACATCGCTGAGACATCAACCTGGAATTGTTTTGGAGGCACAATAGCATATGAGAAAGAATTACGTACAATGGCAGAAAACTCAGGAGAGATCTGTGCTTGAGATTAGATCCGGAAATGATTAGAGATTGTTCTTATTATAATCTTTCAATATTAAACTCAATACATTACTTAAAGCAGTTGTCACTGGGTTTTTCCTCCACTAAAGTACTGAATCCTTTTGACAGTGGGATATGATGAGTGTTTTGAGGTTTACCCTTTAAAACTTTATCCTGAAGAAGAAGTTGGGTAGAATCGGAGACAGGAATTTCTGTTAAGGAAGCCTTGATATATCTATGCCAAATTTATGAGTATTTGTTCTCAATGGCTAGGTTTGTGAGATTGTCTAAAGGAAAAAAAAGGAAATGGTTTCAGTGGTGTCATGTGACAGAAGTAAGACTTCTGTTTATTGAGGAAGAAGTTGGCAGGAGAGTCTGCGTAAATTATCCCTATGCTTAATGGTTGAGAAGAAATGAAAAAACATTGTAGGAATTATCCATAAAGGTTAATGAACTTTGTTTTTTAAAATTGAGGGAGTTACATATGTTTGTATACTAAGTTGGTAGGATCAGTAGAGAAGAAAAAGTTAAAATGCAAGAATGAGAAGAAATTGCTTATGGCCAGAATTCTTGTGAGAAACATAAGGAATAGGGTGTATAGCACTAGGGAGTTAGCTTTGGATGTTGACGGGTCATCAGTGTCACTGAGGCAGGAGGAAGAAAAGGAAGGAGGAGGTAGATTCACATGTCTTTGGGGCAGCTGGGCATGGCGAACCCATGTCATCAGGAGTTTGTGGTGTCTGTGTTTTCATGTTTGAGGGAACAGAGTCAGGATACTGTGCTAATTAAAAGCAGGATGTCTGAGAGGTGACTTGAGGTGTGGAACAGCTTGTTGAGGGGTCACAAGAGGTGGGGTACTCCTCTGGCCTTCCTGCAGCCACCCACACATTTAAGAGACTTGCTGGAAGAACTCACACGACTTAGCTGTACTCACGACTGAGGTTTATTAAAGCAAGGGAAAACAACCCATTGGGCATTCTGGAGGCGTCGAGGCATGGGCTTTCAGAGTTATCCCTCCCAGAGGCAAAATGATGGGCTGTATGAAACATGCTCCTTCCTCCGGCAGTGACTGTAGAATATGTGCATGGTGTTTCTGCCCAGAGAGACTCACTTAAGACTCAGCCCAGGGTGAGGGTAAAAGGGGGGTAGTTAGGTAGGCACTGCCATACACCCAGCCACAATTATCAGCATCTGTTCTCCCAAAAAGAGAGCAAGTATTCCCCATAAATCACATTATCTGCAAAAACAGTTCAGGCATGTTCCTTTAACAGGAATGCAATACCTTGTCCCCAACACTGAAACAATCAGGATCCAGAACTAACTTCCCAACGGCCAGCTAAGGGCCAGCCCTGTAACTAGGCTCTTCTTAAGAGTATCAGGTCTGCTATGTTAATAATTTTCTGCACAGTCACTCAAGGCCAAGCCTGATGATTACCCTAGTTTCTAGCAGTGCTTTTATGCATGACTTTGTGGTTTTATAGTTGTCTCTGTTGGGGCACCTCAGTGTAGTGGGGTAGAAAATTAGAGTTGTTTGATTTATCCATATTTCAGAGCTTACAGGACCGAAAGTACTAGGAAAGGATGGGGTGAGGAAGCAGCAAGGCAGTAGAAGGAAGATAATGGTGGAAGAGCTAAATTTAGAGTGGAATTTGGGGGTGTGCTCTAGTCTATAGAGGAAGAAAGAAAGCGAGGCGAACTGTCTTAGATTATGAGAGGCTGAGCAGACCCAAGCAGGAGGTTTGTCTGATGGTGGAGGCGCCCAAGGTTGGAACATGGGCTTCTCTAACTTCTCTAGGCAAATAAAAATTAGACTTATCATCAATTCAGTTCTTTTTTTGGGGGGGGGTATCTTTGTCTCACAAAGGAAAACTTATTTAATCTAGTATGTTTTAATTGAATAAAAGGTTCATGTCTGTGCTGTGAATTCTGTCTTCTTAAAAATAATGTTTTCCAGGGGTTATAAAATCTTTTTCTAATATACCAAGTTTTCCTCTGTTCTTTGCTTGCTCTTTCATCAAAGAGGATACTTCTGACAAGATGGATGGTAAGAACTTCCTTTTCTAATTCTACTAAAAAATTTTATGGTTCTTGGATTCTATGAATATCTTTGTTCTCTTAATTTCTGAAAATAGACTGCTTATTTAGCAGCAGTCTTAATGTGAAAATGGTTCCGTAATTCTCTGATTGAATTTGGGGTTAGACATATCTTTTGGGTTTCTCAGTTTATTCAAATACTAGATTACTGTTTGTTATAAGTTAAATCAATTTTCTTAACTTCTTTTAACCTGAGCCCTTAGAATATTCTGGGTTTCTCAAGTCTTTCTCAGAAATACTAGATTCAGGAGAAAGGAGTCTCATAAGTAACATGATTCGATTCTTTAATTTACTAACCTCTGCTATAGAGAGACAGATGACATATTATACAGTTTCATATGTCTCCTCTGGTGGCTCAGTGGTAAAGAATCTGTCGCCAGTACAGGAGACACATGAGACTCAGGTTCGATCCCTGGGTCGGAAAGATCCCCTGGAGAAGGAACTGACAACCCATTCCAGTATTCTTGCCTGGGGAAATTCCATGGGACAGAGGAGCCTGGCAGGCTATGGTCCATGGGGTTGCAAAAGAGTCAGACACAACTTAGCGATTAAACAATAATAACAGTGGTCATCTATGAAAATGAAATGCTAGGTACAGATGCTGTCTTTTTAAGAGTGTGTTTCAAATGAACATTTAATCAAAATTGAACTTATTTTGAGCTGTACCTTTTAAGTTTCATTATTTAGTTTTATCTTTAGTTGCTTGATCCAACATGATAACTTTTATCTGTATGATATTTTTGTCTAGTACTGGACTGTATTATCCATACTTTCCCTTCACATCATCAGATACTACAGTGTTATCTAGGAATTTGAACTTTTTTGTAAGAATTTGTAAGAAGATCATGAATCTGTAAGTCACAGTATGAGATCTAGGAAAAATGGAAAACTGTGTTTTTCTATCAATTATTACATAAACTCTGAAACTGGTATATCTTCCACTCTGATGGTTTATTTAATCTTGACTTGGGTACATGAGTGTTATTTATAATTGGTCTCTCTGCTTCTCTTTATGTTTAATGTATTTCACAAATTTAAGAAAATATTAAATAAAAGAAAACCCACCAAGAGATAGTTTCTATATTTCAGACCATGTGATATCACTTCTATCACTGAGAGTCTGGATCCTTGAAAAACAAATTATTCTCACTTTCCAGATCAAAATTTTTCTTGTTTGGGTCAGAAACATCAGTCTGTTTGAGAAATCATCTGTGTTATATAATGTGATACTCTAACTGATGTTTAGTCCTGCGTTTAAAAAAGAAATCTATATGCGCACACAGAGAGAAACATCTGTCATTGCTCTGTAACAGTAGTGAGTTCTGATGTTCATCCTTGATGTTTTTTGACTGTGCTGTGCAACTTGTGGGATCTCAGTTCCCCAACCAGGGATTGAACCCCAGACCTTAGCAGTAAAATGTGGAGTTCTAACCAGGATTCTCTTCACTTGATCATTTTTTTGCTAGCTTTTACAACATCTTGGGGAGTACAAAAAAGCTTGACTAAACAGCTGATAGAGTCATAGGTAATGCTTTGATGAAAATAATAAGGCCTGGGTCATGGAGTTGATTCCCATGTTTGTCAGTTTCTAGTTCTTTCTTGGACTCCCTTTTGAAAATGCTCAGAAAGTATTCTTACCCTGGAAAGATATATCAAAACATTTGTTTCGAAGAGATAAGTGACAGAGTTGTATCATTCTTGAGTAATTAGTTTTGTTACTTTTCTTCATTTAACATTTTCAGTATGAAATACAGCAGACAAACTGGTTTATTACAGAATTTTGCTATTTTCAGTTGTCTAGTTTTAACTTTTTTGTGCTGTGAGTCTTTAGGTTACCTCAAATTTTGTTTTATCTCAAAACCTTTTAAAAGCTAATTTAAGGCTATCAAACTAGAAGATATTTTTTCTTTTGCCCTTTTATTTTCGTCTTGGGTGGGAGGCACAAGGAAAGTCTTAATATCAACATTGGCAGACTTTGTTGAAACGTTATTGTTTTATTTCTCTTATTTAGGAACAGCATCTGAAGATGGTAAGAATTAAACATTTTGTTAGTAACACAAAAATATTAATATTCTCATTATTAGGAATTAAACATTAAAAACTAAAATAGGCTACTTTCTTTGCAAATCCATAATTTGCCAGCTGTGCTAGCTTCCACATTTTGTGTTTGGTTGTGTTAGTTATTCATGTAGATTTTTTTTTAATCCTTCATCCTGGAGTTTTGCTGTGTATCTTGAATTATCTCATGCTGGAAAAAACATAATTGCTTCACATGTTTAATAATACCTAGTATAAAGTTACAGTTTCATTTTTTCTGTAGTGACATTAATGCTTTTCTTTTGTGTTTTTGTTTTTTAATTTTTGCCAGTTCATTTATACTTTGTGAGTGCACGCACCATTGCTTTATCATTGGAGTTTAAATATCATCCCACTTAAATGCATTTATTTTGTCAGCTTTTAAATGTATCTTTGATTTTGAATCAGTGCCTGGGGAATTGCATATGATTTGAATTTGGAAATACAGAAACCTTGCTAGATATAGTACTTTATTTTACTGAACCAATTTACCTTTTTAAAAATACTTACTACTTTTCAATTTGGAGAAAGGAAAAACTTCAGTGTTTTTATTTATCCTACTTGAAGGCTATCTTATTAATTAAGCCTCTGATATGAAACACAATTTTTTCCTAAATTTTATGAGTGGCATTTTCTTGTAATACAACCAAGTAGATTTGACATTTTGATGGTCTCATGTTTACTCTGACATATTTGAAATATTTTCATATTTTAAGTTTTAGAATACTTTATATAGAAATGGTTTCTGGCACTGTATCATTATAATTTAGATGGTAATATAAAAAATAATTTATCCTAATAATTTATTCTAATTTCTTTATTATAACATAAATTTTGCATTTCAAAAATAATAATTTTCTTTCTATTTTACTTCTTAGTCAGGAGAACATCATGTCCTATTCTAAGCAGACTCTGTAAAAGGGTGAAAGTCCCGAATCATGAGCTTTTTAGGGGCCTTGAAGAAGGTGATAGAATGAAAGGATCTACCACCTGTACTTCTCATTTTGCTTCATTTTATTCCTTTTTCTTAGTTATTCTCTTCTCTTCCCTCACTCATTTCATAATTTTGAAATTTTCCTTACCTTTAGATATGTTTTCTTAATTAATATTGCCGTATCAGGCTAGCCCGTAGATCGTGATTGCCCTTCAAGTTGTTCCTTTTAAGTGAAAACAATTCGGAACCCTTCTTCACGATCACGTGGGTATGGGTTCCAATGTGATAGTGATTGAGGCTGTTGCTCGAGAACACCGAAGTACCTACTAGTAATATATTTTTGTTTTTTCTAATGACATTTCTTAAATTTCATAAATTTCTTAAATTTCATAAATTTCTTAAGTTTACTTAAGCACTTCGATAAATAAGCATTCTCTCCTTTGGTTCAAGAACTCTAAAAACATTTCTATGCCTTGGTTTCATGGAGGGGAATGAAACAATAATAGAGAAAGAAGGAATACTGATTGGAGGTAGAGAAGGAAATGTGTAGAGAAAGTGCCAACTCCTCTGTGATTGTTGTTTCCTCAAATAATTTTATAAATGGAAGTTGGTTGGTTGGGGAAGAGAATAGTAAACGTGCCCATGTACATCTGTAGTACTCTGATGTTTAGCACAGTATATAAAAAGATATTTTTAAAAAAAGATATTTTAGCTAGTATTGTATCTTCTTGCAAATCCCTTCGGAAGTACGTTTTCAGTCAAAAAGACTGGGTTGTTGTTTCTAAGCTTAGGCTTGTATTTTAAACTATAGGCTGAATTTGAGAATAAATTAAATTTCATGGAAACTGAAGAAGTGCATGCCTGTGGTAATTATCTTAATTATAACTACTGGGCCAATAATATCAAACCGAGAATGGAGATCTTTTAGCTTGACTTTACTCTTACCCTTAAAGGAAAGTTAGTTTATGGTGCAACACATAAAAAACAGTATTTATTTTTAAAATTTCAAGGGAACTCTAATCTTTAAAGTGAAGTTTACAGTGTTACAGAATTTAACAATACTTGAGAAGCACACCCAATTAGAAATTAAAGTGAGTCTTTTTTTTCCCCTCATTACTAAATATTATAGAAAAATGTCTGTAGTTATCTAAATCATTTTATTCTTTAGGCCGGGTGAGAGCAAAGCTTTCAGCACCACTTGCTAGTATGGGAAATGCCAAGACAGATTCCCGAGGAAGAAGTCGAACAAAGATGGTGTCTCAGTCACAGCGTATGTATTACCTATTAGTTCTCTCGTGTTTCTACTGTGTTAGGATAAGCGTGTTCTTTGTATGTTACTGTATTAGGAGATTGACCAGTGGAAAAAGACAAAACTAATTCCCAAAAAGACAAGCCACATACTGAGTTCTTGTTCTGTACTTTAGGTTCATCATCACCTGACAAAAATGAAGGTATTTTTTTTTTTTTCAATGTTTTGGGTCAGTTGTTGTGCATGTTTTCAAACTTTTGGAGTGGGTGTTGTCTTGTCTTTGGTGTGTTATTAGGGCTGCATCATTGATACCTGCCACTTAGAAAGAGAAACTTCATCTGTTATACAGACTTTTGCATGGAGATATTTTAAATAACACAAATCTTTTAGCATTAAGGTTTTCACAGTCTACTCAGAAACTTGTAAATGTGGAAAATTGTGCTTTTTAGGGGCAAAATAATTGCTGTATGTTAGCATCAAATCTGGTTGCATCTAGCTAATACTATTCAAGGACAGATATGTAGTATCCTTGTACTTTCCCTAAAATCCATTAGAATACAGTCAGCATTTTTGGCAGGTATATACTGATTCATAAAGAGGAAACAAATTGAAATGACCAGTTTTGTTAATATTCCTTGTTAAATTTAAGATTTATATTTTTGCAATTTCACTGGAAGCTGAGTTTCTCATAAGCACAACTATTAAAAAGCACAATTTTGAATTCTAGGTAAAATGAATGATCCATTCCTCTATGTTCCTGAATAGTAATATATACATTTATGGCATAATTAAAAGAGATCTCCTTCCTTCTTTATCAAGAAATTTTCCTTAGTACGTGTCTCTTAGAACAGGAATTTTTTCTAGGGAGGTAATTCTGGGGTTCTTCTTGATATCAATACTTGGCCATTTTAGAAAGAAATACATGTAGCTATCTTCTACTGTTCTTTAGATAATATTTCAGGATATAGATGCCTAGTTCGTCTTTTTTAACTTGATTCTTGAATCTTGGTATTAGGGAAAGGAGCTGGGCTTGGAGGGCGCCAGGAGATGATTAGACAAGTCCAGCCTAGCAGATTCTCTTCTTTCCACAGTCAAAAAATCCAGTCAGGGTAAAGATTGGAGCACTCAACAAGAGTCCTAAAAAGAAGCAGGAATGCTCCAGTAAAATTGGTCGGCAAATTGAGGATTATTTACAAATAGGAAAAATGGCAAATGCCTTTTGGGTAAGGGCTCTTTCCCCAACCAAATTAGGAGTAGATCACATCACATTCTTCCCTAATCTTGTGTATTTTTACAGTAATTGTTTAAAGTAACTTAATCTTTAGCAGTGTAACACATAAGTTTAGAGCCTTGCTCTTCCAAATGTGATGCCCAAACCAGCATCAGCATCACCTGGGAAATGCACACCTGAGAAACTCACCACAGGTGTACTGAATTCAGTCTTTAACAAGATCATTAAGTGATTTCTGTTACAGTCAAGCCTGAGAAGTATTGATTTAGATCATGTATCTGGAGCCGTACTTCCCAGAGTTGATCATAGCTATTCCAGGTTATTTAAAGTTGTTATATTTCTGTGTACTTCTAATATAAACAGTAAAATGAAGAGGATAATCTTAACAGGATTGTTGTGAGGATTAAATTAGTATATTTGCCTGAGCACAAAGTACATGCTCTGTATTTTAGCTGATAAAATTGATCTCCTTGTTTTTCTTACTGCAATGTCAACTGAATTTTATACTCCTGTTGTGCACTTTTCTATACCTTGTTAGTCTTACGGCCTTCAGGAAACAAAAATAATGGTGAAGGAAATTTAAAGCATAAGGAAAAGTAAAGATAGCAACCAGAGACTGTATCTGGTATCTTCAGGATAAAACTCAATTTCATGTGAGGTATTTTACTGAGTTTTCTTCTAAAGGAATACTAAGACTGAACTCATGGCAGAGATTCAAAGTGCTTTGTGTATGATTTTTTAATATATTACTTAAGGACCTCCATTTTAAGTATGTCATAACTACTGATCATATCGAGAATATACAATAATTTTTTTATATTTGGTCTTTGACATTGAAACCCTATGCACAGTACTTCAAATCCTCTCCTAGAGTGTGAGAACATAATAATAGGCTTTTAGACCCAGTAAGATTTTAAGATCAGATAACTTTCCCACAGTAAAATCACTTAGGTTTTAAATCATACTGGTGAGGTTTTTATTTGCTTGCTTATATATTTATTTGAATAACTGTTTCATTTCAAATTCTTTTGAAAAAAGATATTGCTGCTTTATATAATTTGATTCAAGTCTCTTTACACACATCTACACAGAAATATTACTGTGATCTCCATCTTCACTTTGTTGTGAAGTAATTCACTAGGGTTTGCATGGTCTTTCCATATTTTTATATCACCATTTAGGGGAAAAAAAATTGTCTTGAGTCAAAGCAGGTATGTTCTAGCAGCTAACCAAAAATAAATTGAAAGCAGACCCAATGGAGGGACGTACAGACTTAATTATTTACTCAAAGAGTGTGTCTTTTGTTGTTGGTAGTGACTGATTATGTACAAATGAGTGTACAGCCTGTCAGAAATTTTGTCTCCCCACCCACCCTGCTACTGTTCAGTTTTTTCCCCTCAGTGTCTTAAGAAAGATAAAATCTGTAGCTTTTTCATGTAATTTTTCTTCAGCTAGAAGATGCTGTAATTCTTCCTTACCTATAGTTTTTAAATTAAATGTTTAAATAACAAAAATTTAAACATTTAATTATTTAGATTTTAGGCCTATCAGAAGACAAGCTGAAAAATCTGCACTTTTACACCTTCATTTCATCTGCTTTGTACATTAGTGTCTGATTTCAGTTATCAGCTGTAAAAACTACTCAGTGTTCTGCTTTTGTTAAAGTTTGCTTTTTTTGCTTTAGGATTTTTAATTTTCAAAACTGACTAAAGCTTTCTTATTTCCATCTGCCATGCATTTTAAATCTGCTCCTTCCCTCTTCATGGATTATAACCCTTACCCTAATTCTGCCTTTACACTTGTTCAGGATCACAATCTGCTAATACCATTGGTGGTAAGAATCTATAGACTTTATATGTGCATCAGTTGTTTGATCATCTATTTTCATTATCAAGAATGGGTTCTATTCAGCAGAAATTCTTAACATCTAATATTCTATCATTTTGTAGCCATCATTGGGGTAAAAGTTCCCAATTAGGATTTTCCTGTGACCTGTCCTTATTTGTTACCAAAACCCTGGTTTTTAAAAATTATCCATGTTGCTCCCACAAGTGTAAACATCCCAGGCAGGGGAGCTTTAGTGATGCCTTGAAAGTGTCTCATACAAAGTACAGAACAACGGTTGAAGCCTTGAGGCAGCACAGGAGAAGTTAGTTACCCAATTTCAAATTTTCATATTAGAATATTTTCTAGTAGCATGATATTGCTAGGTGCATCATACTCTTTTTTATCAACTGTGGTTTTCCTTGAAGACATAATTAACCTTTGTAGTTCTTTTGTTGGGGAAAGAGCCGTGATATTTTCTTCTTCTAAGTATGAATGATTGCAAGATGGGTTGTAGCACTGGATTATCATGCTGTTCATGGCAGTAGTGAAGAAGAGCATGAAATGATTAACACTGCCAATTGCATTTCTTAGGACAGGGCATGAATCAATTCAAATATATAGAGAGTGAGCTTGCATAGTTTTGATAAATTCAACAAATCTAGAATAGATGGAGTGATTACTCTTGCTTCTATACTGCTTATTTCTTCTCTGCTGAATAGATCCATATCTCAAGGAATTCTCCAGTTTCCTACCAACACCTTCACCTCCTAAACTTATATTGGTTTTAACAGAATAACATGTTGTATGTGGTCAGTTTATTATTTATACTTTTTATATTGTCACATTCCCATAAAATATTCCATCAGCTTACCTTGCATTGTGAGTTTGTGGCATGTTGGGTGTTTGGGTGTTTTTGGTGTGTATGTTTAGTTTAGATGCTGCATGGAGAAAATAGGTGCCTTGTGAGTATCCCTGAGGTTATGACTGAAAGAAACCTCATCTAAAGATTCTTCACCTGAAATGTCATGGAACAATTCAAATGAACCATCATTTTTAAAGTACACTTGTGTAATTTCCCTGCAATAATTTAGAATTCTTTCTACACAAATAATAAATTGTCAGTTTCATCATAAACATTGCTTTGTTTTACAGTACTGCTGTAAACATATTTTATACTGGTAAAGTTTAGGAATTAAGCATGAGTTTAAATTGTATTCAGAAACACAGTGCCCAGAAAACAGTAACAAGGGTCACAGATCAGCAACCCATGGATCATATCCAGTCTGCCTCTATTCATGTATTATTTGGTCTGTACAACATGATAAAAATCAGAAAATTTCAGAGCTTTCACCAAAAAAAAAATCCAAAAATATGGCCAGGACAGCCCTCAAGACAGGACAGGTTTGACCTAAAAAGTCACCACTCCCTCCCTTGAACTCAGCACTCCTTCCTCAGTGATGTTCCCCGCTTCTCCCCATTGACTTTGAGTCTTTAATCTTTGCTCTGTGTAAATGAAGCATGGCTGGGTAAGATGATACAAGGTGAGCAGTGACTGTGGAGAAGTGCCCAGCAAAGAGCAAACATTGCTTTCATGAAGTTTTATTTAAGTGCAAGTTTAACTTTTATAATGCTACTGTCCAGAATCTAGAGTTAAATTATACCTTGGACTTACCTAGCTTATTTTCCTTTTCAATGCAGACACAAAATGCTCTGATTGACAAGGAGCTTACCCCTTTAAAAACTAATTATACAGTTCTAGTTTAAACGCATGTTTCTTTTTTTAAAAGTCTTACGCCTGTCTCTGAGATTTTATCCATCTCCCTCTCTCTACCTGACCACATCTTCTCTCTTCCAAGATTGAAAATTACTAGTTTTGAAAGAATCTACTTTCTTTGACATTTATTTGCCCACTAATCTTGTTCTACCCTCAGTACACATCTTCATGCCAGACTTTGGCCACCCAAGACCCCTTTTTTATTTGAAGGCAAAGAGCAAAATCCGTTTCTTTTTTAGCTGGCCCAACTTTGTAAACATTTAAAATTTAATCTTGGGACTTTCCTGGCTTTCTAATGGCTAAGACCCCACACTTCCACTGTGGGGGGCACGGGTTCGATCCCTGGTTGGAGAATGAAGATTCTGTATGCCACTCAGTGTTGCCAAAATAAATAAATAAAATTTAATCTTGTAAAAATTTTAAAATACGTGTAAGTAACAAGATAGACAACTTTGTTATGCCCATTTCAAGGCATCTCAACAGGCAAACTGTTTTAACAGGAAGCAAATTTTCATTATTATATTCTTAACAAGAATGTTATCAATAATAGAATTATTGTTTCCTTATAAATGTATAGCTTTAATAAATAGCTTTTTAACATATAGCTCTAGTTACATGAAATGTATTGTTAGATAAGTTATTTCTTTGGAAACCTTTTCTACTATTTATGTTCTGAAATCATAATAGTGTTTTCCTTATTAAACGTAACATCTTATATTCCCCAAAACTGAAAATATATTTACATGATTTACCATTCAATCCTAGTATATGTGTATACATATATATATATATATGTGTGTGTGTGTATATATATATATATATATATATGGTATATCTTTTTATTCCAGGTTTTCAGTATATATAAAGCTTCCTTAATCTATTTCCTTGGAACTTAGAACTTGCCATTGTATCACAGGCTTCTCAGATGTACTTCTTGAATTTTTATCCTTTCGACAGAGATCTCCTAGAGTTCACAGGTTAACATCTATATGTATGTTTGGTGTTCAGCTGGCAGCCGGTCTGGGTCTCCAGGAAGAGTTCTGACCACAACAGCCCTCTCCACGGTGAGCTCTGGCGTTCAGAGAGTCCTGGTTAACTCCGCCTCCGCGCAGAAGAGAAGCAAGATCCCCCGGAGCCAGGGCTGCAGCAGAGAGGCCAGTCCGTCCCGGCTGTCAGTGGGTAAGGCTGTCGTGTCAGACGTGGGGCCTTGTGTTTCTTTTGTACCTCAGGCCTTGGCAGCACTGAGGACCTGGTTGAGGTCTTCTGAATTTGAGGAAAACAGCTTCACATTCAAGGAGAATTGAAATACAGGTTTAAAAATGAAATTAGATATCTTATCTTGGCAGTATTATTTCTGTTTTAAATCCATTTTTTTTTTTGCAGCTGTTGAATTTTAGTAAAATACAGTTTGCTCTTCTAATCACAAATAAACTAGAAGAGTATAAGCAAGAATTTTAACGGTATTCCTGGTAATGCTTCATCAAGAATCATTTCTTCTCATCCTTAGCAGAACTTGTTATTTATTAGCTTTATAAGAAAGAAAATAATAAAACCAAAATATCAAAAATACAAACGCTTCTCCTGTTTCCCCCACTTCTGCGCTGCCGTTGCCTCACACCAGCCCGAAGCAGTCGGATCCCTCGGCCAAGCGTGAGTCAGGGGTGCAGCCGGGAAGCCAGCCGGGAGAGCAGCAGGGACGCGAGTCCTGTGCGCTCTTTCCAGCCCCTTGGTGAGTGTCTGGGCTCCCCTGTTGTGCTCGCACCATCGGACGACCTCAGAAGACCCCGGGTTTAGCTTTATCAGCTGTATCTTTGCCTCTCCTTTCTGCCTTTTTAAGGACAGTCAGAGGGAGGTTACATGTTTGTGAAGTTCCTTTGACATTTACTTCTTTTAAATAAGCAAATTAGACATTAGATAAACAAATTGCCTTCATAGTCAAGTAAATATCATACAGATTTAGATTACATAATATTGAATTCAGTATTTTTTCTTAATAAATATCCCTATAAAATTTAAAGATAATATTTAGGTAATTACTCTTAAGTGAAATGTGGACTATTTAGTTTGATAAAAATAAAGACATTTATGCTTTTCAGCAGAAATATTTGCTCTTCACCTTAGATATTTAAGTTAAGATTGCTGGAAAGAAGGCTGCAAAATAATATATGAACTATTAAAATGGAAGGGATTAGCGCCTTCTTAGCACAGTGGGCAGCGCATCAGTCTCATAAAATGGAAGGGATTAATATTTTTGTATATTTTACAGTTTAATAGCATTTCTCATGCATTAGCTTTTATCGTGTCATTGCTGTGCAACCTGTCTGTTCCTTACTATAGAGATTGTACTGTAACCTTGACTGTAGTATTATGTTTACCTCAATTATAAAATGTTAAATGATCTTTTAAAACTTTTCATATTTTAGAGTAATTGGAGAGGCAGAATTTTTTTATGTTGAAAATCTTTAGAATTTCTTTGTGGTCCTCCGCATTTTAACTAGTACTTTATTTTTATGCACTTACCTAAAGTCATTTCATATTTTTTTATTTTAATTCCATAGAGTGTAGGTTATTGTAACACTTAAGAGAGTTGCACTTTAGAATTTGTGACACTTAAATAGAACATGGTTCCACTCGTTAGCTGTTGGAAGTATTATTTCCTTCAGTAGACGCTTTGGTATAGAATTTCTAAGAAATTAAGTTTCTTTTGGGCCATTTGGTTCAACTATATCACTACTAAACTATCCTCTCCTGACCCTTTGAGCTAGGAACACAGACAGGGGTATCCTCAAGCCTTGTTTGTGTTCCAGTTCCAGGTACCAAAGAGTTTCCTTCTGTACTTTGCCAGAGATAGGTTTAGTTCCTGTGTGATAATACAGTAGGCTGTAGAGTGTCTGTGTGTGTGTGTGTGTGTGTGTGTGTGTGTGTGCAGACACACATACAGGTGCGTATGTATTGGTTAGTCCTCATGCATATCTATTTAAAAATGAAATAAATCCTGTGTTTGTGTAAAATAAGCACATCACCTTAAGAGTTGGAGTGGGCTTGTGGTAGTTTAAGAGCGTCTATTCTAGGGTCGGATGGTCTGGTTGATATCCCAGCTCTGTAGCTGTTGTGTACCAGGGCTCCCTTATCTGTGAAATGAGGATAATAACAGCATGTAGCTCTTAGCATTGATCTGAAGACATTGTAAAGCAGAGATGCCACGGAAACGATCCCTCCAAGCAGCGCTTGCACACAGTGAGCGTGTGGTCATCAGGACTGTCGTCTCTTCCACCTCTTGCCCTGAACAGTGCTTGCTCACCTGCAGTTAGTTCTGTCACATGTTAGTGGCAAGGATCTTTGATCTTTTTTTGATGGTATAATACCTTGTATAATGTAGAATTATTAGAAAGCATGGAGAAGGCAATGGCAACCCACTCCAGTACTCTTGCCTGGAAAATCCCATGGACGGAGGAGCCTGGTGGAGGAGCCTATGGAGTCGCACAGAGTCGGATACGACTGAAGTGACTTAGCAGCAGCAGTAGAAAGCATGAGATAGCAAGAACAAAATATGTTTCTAGACTGTTTTAAACCTGTACAATAGAGATTAGAGGAAATTTATAACCAACTTCTAGTTATAAACATGTTAATATGCCTATTTTTAAAGAGAAAATGAAAGTGTTAGTCACTCGGTTGTGTCCCCCATGGACTGTAGTCCACCAGGCTCCTCTGTACATGGGATTCTTCAGGCAAAAATATTGGAGTGGATTGCCATTCCTTCTCCAGGGGATCTCCCCAACCCAGGGATTGATCCCAGGTCTCCCTCATTGAAGGCAGATACTTTACAGGCTGTGCTAGGAGGGGAGATATTGTTTAGTCATTAATCTTCTAGATTTATCTCTGTCTCCATTTGGCAACTGAGATCATTTGAATTTTGTTATTAAAGGAGGCAGTTTTCTCAATTGTGATAAAACATACTATTTGGTTTAGAGGTGGTTAAACCTTTTTATCATACAGTTTTAGAAAAATTAAATTTTATAGCCTTTTGCTTACATGTAGATGTTGCATTGCAAAGATAGGAGATTGGCCCTATTTATTAAGCAGGGATAAAAATAGCATTCCCAGAGATCAGGATTTTCTGGTATATTTGCCTACATTTTGCTGTCTTCCTTCATTTGGTGAAACCTTCTGTCGCCTCTGACTTGAATATGGCCATGCAATACATGAATCCCGTAGCTTGCCATTTATTCAGTTGTAGCACAAAGCCAGCGTCAGGGCCCTGATACACCAGAGATAAATCAGAGCTAGGCAAAGATAAACTCTGGAACTTGCACTCTTAGTTTCCATCTGTTTCTGGAACTAATATAGAAAAAGAAAGGCTACGTTATTACAAGCATGTGAGTGTTATCTTCAGCCACAGATAACTTGATTTCAAAAGGTTTTTTATCTATTAAACCATTTCCATATTGGTTCAACTCTTCCTTATCACTTTATTAATTATTCTGTTGGGTATAATTAAAACCAACTATATACTAGTATGTTTTACTAATGATACCAGTCACCTTTCAGGGTCCGATTAAACATTTTATACAACATTCTGTCTTTAATCCTGTCTTTCAGTCTTTTTGATCATTTTCTTATTCATTCCTGTGACAAAGAAAAGATTAATTCATATAATAAAAGTACTTCAACTGTTCTAATATGTCTGAAGCAGAGTAACTTTTAAAATAAGGGTAATATGTTTCATTAAATAATAAAAGGAATTTTTCCTCCCTTATTTGTGTATTTAAGAATAAGACTGACATTATAACATTATGAAAATAAGGATTTTAAGATCTAAAATTTTAAAATATACTAAATTTAGATTGAGAGAGATGTCATAAATATAGGGAAAAGTCACACATTTCTAGATTTTTTAAATTTTATTAATATTCCCCTTTTGGTGTTCAAATGTGCTTTGATATTTAAATCTACTGAATTCAGAACTTAGGTTGTATAAACTATTATAAAAAATGTTTATGTTAATATAAATGAGGTATGTTATCTTTTGAGCAATATGAAGTTGGTATGTGTACTGTTCAAGAGCAAAGACGCTAAAAACTACAGTTACTAAGTGTGGCCTTGATCAAATTAATGAACCTTTCCCTGTGCTTTAGTTTGGCCATTTGTCAAATTGAATAGTAACAACTACCTCCCTGAGTTCAGGATTAGAGGAGATAAGATTACTATTGGTTACTATTTACCATAGTGGTTTTTTTTTTTAAATTACAGTGTTCATTTTTCTGTTTCATGCTTGTACTTTTGACATTTCCTTCCATTTGAATACTTGCCTCTTGTCTCCTGTGGGCTTATGTCTGTCCCCTTAGGTGTAAGATCTGTTGTGTGTCAAGGATGATACTGCAGTGTTCAGTTGCCCTTATCTAAGGCAATATTCTGACCCTTAAGTATTTAGTAGTATAATACCATTGTTAACTAACTCTCCTTGCCTGACTCTAGTGCCGCCACTATACCTTGTTTCTGTGGTAATAGATGAGGTTTGTATGGTCCTGTTATTCCAGCCTCCAGACACCACTCCAGATCTACTGGTGCCCTCTACGCCCCCGATGTGTATGGGGTCTCAGGTGAAGGATGAGTACATTTTCACTATCATCTGTGCATTCATCTCAGTTTTTTGTCCTTTTCAGTTCCCATTGAATAATCATGTTTTAAAATTGATTTTGTTTTTATTTAATTTGTTGAAGAATAAGTCATTTGTGTGTTTTGTTGTTGTTGTTGTTGTTATTAATTTCCCCCCAAGTAACTTTTTTCCTTTCAGCAATCTTACTTGAGCATTTTTCTCACTGGGGATGGACATTTTTCTTTTATATAACCTAAGTTACATCATTTTAAAATAGAATAGAATTGTTTTATGTTCTCTGTTATGTACTTCATCTTTTGTATGTATGTTTAAAAAAAAAAAACCAAAATGGTGGATGAAGTGTTTTAATTGTAAATGATGATATATTGTAAAAAGTAGCTGAGAAGAACCCAACTATGGTTTGTCTTTACATACCTCAGAGTGTCAGGCAATAGTAGGTGCTTAACAAATATCAAATGATATGTCTTTTAGTTATGGAATGAATCAGCCTATCTTGAAGGAGAAGAGAGAATCATTGGAGGAATTTTTCCTTGTAAATTCTTGGCATGGCTTCATTGAGCTCCCTAATCATTACTGGTTGGAGGATTGATCTTTGTTCTGGGCCACCCTGTGGCTCACCCACATGGATGAAATTTGCCTGACTGATAAAACTGGATTAATTACAGGGCTACCAACTTCCAAGCCCTTAGTCGACCAGCTATACTTTCTTCTGTCTTCTGGTGATAAATGTATCATAGCGACTGTTCCTTAAATTCACTTGCCACACATTGTCAGTGATTTTAATTGCTTTTACCATTTTATTTGACCAAAACTAAATGTACCCAGAGAATACAATATTGCTTTTAAAATGCTTTGCCCCATTGGTTTTTTTTTCCCCCCTCCTCAAGGATCTCGAACTTTCCAGCCTGACCATGTTACATTTACAGCTCTCTCAAAGCTGTTTTCCTTCTTCTGATGAATTAGGTCCGGGGTATGGGATCAGCCAATCAAGCCGACTGTCATCCTCGGTCAGTGCCATGCGAGTCCTGAACACAGGTTCCGACGTGGAGGAGGCAGTGGCAGATGCCTTGGTACTCTTGTCCATTTTCTTATCACTGTAGATGTTCCAGTTAATGAAACTAATGTTTGAGTAAGCCAGTCCACAAGTGTGGGAAAGGAGATGGAAGATTCTTGTGGGTTAAATCTAGGAAGATCAAATGTGTCCATATAAAAAGCAAAGCAGTATAATTTATTGCTGATCCTTATTAATTGGTCAGATTTTTAAGCCATCACCCACGATGGAATGTCAGGAATATAAATACTGATATTGTTAACACGGAGTTTTTATACACTAGTACACTGAGAATAAAGGCAGATAGATTAGTATATAAATATGTACACTGCAAGTATATAATTTCAAAGCTAGCTTAACCTTGAGTGTTTAGGGGTTGTTTAGAGTAAAAGTTTATATAGTCTTTTACTTATTTGTATTTTCTGAGCTGAGAGAAAGTACAATTTCAAAACAAATTATATTTCAGGTATCTTTTTAGCTCTTTAAATCTGAAACGTTAAACAGTGAGGCTTGAAAATATAATCTACTGATCCGTGATGGTTTTGTCAGAAGAGTGCTGTACAGATATCACTGTAGTTTTTCTCCCTTAAAATTATGAAGGAAGTATTTGAGACAGTGGTGATGATTGGCTTTTGCTTTTTTCCCTGTCAATTCAGTATGACAGTTTCTCTCAAATTATGATATTAATCCTATTTTTGAGAAACATCTACTCATTTGCTTACACAGAATTTACAAAGGCATCATGTTTGTTTCAAAATAAGAAAATACGTTGTGCCTTTTAAACCTGCATGCCAGCTCTTAACCATTGCTGATACACTATTTGCCACGTATATTTGATAAGCAAGTTTTTTAAAATATTCATTGGTCATAGCTATAATGTATTAAATGTAATCATATGTGTAGTTCTGCTCTGACAGTGTGTGTGTGCTGAATTTTTCTTTTACCTCAGCCATCTGATTTTTTCCATAAATCAGTGTATTTACTAAATAAGAACTTTGTTCCCTCGAGCTTGGGATATATTTATCACACCTTATTCTGATGGTATTAAATTAGTCATATGTTTTAAATTTATTCTTCTTGATCAGTGTATTTCTCAAATCACATTTTCTAGTTTCCTTTATGTGAAGGATTTACTAGTTAAATTCTATTCATACAAATTTTATGAATTGATTGGATTACTCTTGAGTAATCTTTATCCTATTATTTATAATAAGATGTATTTGGTTTATATGAGGAATATTTAGCTACCAGTGCTAAAAGCTGAATCCCAATTATTTGTGTCTACTTCCATTATTTGCATAACATAGATATTCCAATTATAGGAAAAGACTATCCAACTATTAAGCCTGGTTGGACCTAGGGAAAATAATAGAAATAAAATTAACTTTAGGAATGACAAAAGGATCCTAATAGGAAGAAGCCTTGAGTTTCTTTGGGAAAATTGGTTATGTGAATATATCTGTAACTTACATATTTTTATTTGGACTAAAGGATATTGACAAGATTAAAGATATAGCCTGCTAATAAGCAGTTCTTATGTATCTATACATTTAAAAGCTTAATGGTTCTGATTATGGGCATTGTTTATGCCTACTTCACTGTGCTGTTTAGCAAAATGTTCTTCATTATTTTCAATTTTTCTCTTTAAAAATCTACTGCTCTCAGCTCTTAGGAGACATACGGACTAAGGTATAGACATTGCTATTTTCTGACATCTTATGGTACCATAATGTTTTTTTCTTTCCTTCATCAGTTTAACAGATGATAGTCTTCTATGAAAAATTCAGGTGGAAGTGATAAAATCCTTAGACATACGTCAGTTTTCTGTACATATGATTATATGATTAGCAGTAGGGAGATAGTGCTTAAATAGTGTCCTGTGGGGGTTCTTATCCTTTTAGCCTGACTGCTTTGTACAAATGCGATGATGTCATTGATGCTATGTCTATAACAAGACTTGGAGTCTAATACAAAAAGTATCATGTTTTTGCCATTCTAAATTAAGTTGGTGCCTCCAAGTCAAATCAATTTAGTGATGGAAAGTCATTGAAAAACTATTTTTAATTAAGTTCAGGTTATATTTCTTTTAGATTTTAAACTTGAACAATTTAAGTCACCTGGAGCCGTGTAAAATTATTGTTCTGCAGTGTTTCATAGAAACATCTTCACCTCTCACCAGCCTGAATTCAAGTATCCGATGACATAAAGATTTATTTCTAATTCTTTCAGGGAAATCTCAAATAATCTATTCTGTCTCATTTCATTTTTTTATATTCAAGGTAAAATTAGCAGCTTTATTTATTAAATAATAACTTCAGATGTGAAGAAATCAAAGTAATACTTTCTTGCATATATTGAAACAGGTAGTTTAGACACATTGGGGAAGGCATGGAGAGCCCTTCGGGAGCTTGCTTCCCCAAAGTAAGAGTAAGCTAAACGGGCTGTCATCATTCTCCGTGATTCTCTTCTCGAAGAAACATCAGGGATGGGTGCAAGTGAAGGAAGAGTGGCAGAGAAGTGACAATGGAAGTGAAAGAACAGAGGAAAAGGGAGGTAGAGAGACAGGAAAAATAGAACTTTACACAGGAAACATGTTTTTCTGACCCATTCTCATCCTTTAAAAAGGTTTTAATTTCTTGTAACAACTCAGAATTTTAGTACAGAGTCTGTTTACACTCTAGTAGTAGGTCTTGGTTTTCCACAAAAAGAAAAAAGGAAACCTTATGTTTTTAGCACTCCCCACTTTACATATCTGACTTCCATATAGTAGTCTTATTCTGCTTCTACTACTCCCCATAGTTAAAGAGTATTTCATCTCCTACTAACTCCTAAAACATGTTTTCTGAAAAAAACTAAAATTCGACATTTTATTATTACAATGGTTAGCAGCATGCTTTACAATGATTTTTATGCAAAAGCCAGTCCTTTTCTGGTCAGTAGAAATCGTGAAATACCGGCATGTTATTTTAGCTCCCACTAATGAGAGTCTTTATGTATAACAGAAAAAACCTGCTCGAAGAAGATATGAATCATATGGGATGCATTCAGATGATGATGCCAACAGTGATGCATCCAGTGCTTGTTCAGAACGCTCCTACAGCTCTCGGAATGGTAGTATTCCTACATACATGAGGCAGACAGAAGATGTGGCAGAAGTCCTCAACAGATGTGCTAGTTCCAACTGGTCAGAAAGGAAAGAAGGCCTCCTGGGTCTGCAGAACTTACTAAAAAATCAGAGAACGCTAAGGTGAGTTATATTGGCTTCAAAATAATTATCGTGTCTGTTTAGGGCTTTTTTTTTTGATGGGGGGACTGTGCTGGGTCTTCAGAACTGCACAGGCTTTGCTCTAGTTGTGGCGAGCGTGGCTGCTGTCTAGTTGCAGTGCACAGGCTTCTCATTGTGCTGGCTTCTCTTGTTGCAGGGCATGGGCTCTAGGGCACTCAGGCTTCAGTCACTGTGGTTCGTGGGCTCGAATAGTTGTGGTTTCCAGGCTCTGAAACACAGGCTCAGTAGTTGTGGTGCAGGGGCTTGGTTGCTCCATGGCATGTGGGATCTTCCTGGACTAAGGATCGTCTCTCCCGCATTAGCAGACAAATTGTTTATCACTGTGCCACCAGGGAAGGCCCTGGAGTTAGCACTTTTTTACTTGACTTTTTCATAACTGTAAAGATACTAGTATGGGCTCATATGTGTCCTGAATTCAAAAAGTGGCATCAGAATATTATCCCAAGCCTTAATCCTTTTTAGGACCATCCATACTATTGTTATTTTTTAAATTATAATTATCTTGCTCTATTTAAAGAAACATTATTAAAGGAAACTTTTTATTCATAAGTAGTTATTAAATAAAAATGTTATTAATTAAATGAAAATAAATAATAAAATATAACATAATATTAAAGTTGACTCATTCATTAAAATTCATTCCTGATAAGTTTTTCATTGAGATGAAAGAATATTTATGCTCACTTGAAAATGAGGGTATATTCATGGTGTTCATGTGATGTTTAAGTCTTGGTATAGTATGAAATGGATTTGAAGTGAATTTCTCTTAAGAACTGAAGTTCAGGGACTTCCCTGGTGGTCCAGTGGTTAAGATTTCATGCTTCCTCTACAGGGGGCACGGGTTTGATCCCTAGTTAAGGAACTAATATCCCCCATGTCATGAGATGTCACCAATAAATAATTAAATAAAATAATTTTTTTTTAAGTTCATATTGATTTTTAGTTGAGTTTGATTCGGTTTCCTGTCCTACTGGCTTTTGCTTGCCTTTCCCCTCTAAAGTCTATCGTTTTTATCTGTGTAGTGTTTTAAATCTCTACAGTCTATCCGTTTAAGAACCTAGTTTTAGAAAATTCGTAAGTTTCAGTATGGTGGAAAATAGAGGGCTACTTCCTGCCTTAATACCTGAAATTAGGGTTTGATTTTAGGAGGTGTTAGAACTATATAATTTACAATAAGTGTTTATCTATGTACTTCCTAATATATTTTAATTTCATATTACATATTATTACAGTTCATGAATATTACATATTACAGTTCATGAATCACTACAATAAATCATCATAATGTTGTTTCCAACCCCACCAAGATTAGATTAGTGTTAGGTTCAGTGTATCATTTTAAATGGCAAGGAAGTAGTCGTAGTTTAGAAAGATTTTAGCCCTCAGGTGGCAAAATTTAGGAAAACAGAAAAGCATTTAAAAGGGTAAGATTCATGTGTTGAAAACATCATCTGTATAGTTTACTCTGCTGTGCTACATTAATAAAGTACAGTTGTATTTCTTTTCACATAACTTTCAACCTTTAAAATGTGTGTGTGTTACTACAGAATTATTGTTGCATTTGATAAATTGTATTTAGCCCTGACTAGTAAATCCTACAAATTTCTCAATTTTGAGAGCTGATTTTTTTTTTTTGGCTTAAAAAAAAAGAAGCAGCTCAAATATATATGTAAGTCACTTAAATGACTTCTTTCTACAGCATTGTATTAATTAGCCACTTTATTATTTTGACAGTCGAGTTGAACTGAAAAGATTATGTGAAATTTTCACAAGAATGTTTGCTGATCCTCATGGCAAGGTATGTTTTAGTATTTAAGATTACTCCTGTAAGGTGTCATTATTATATTGCCCCAAAAAAGAAGTAAATAATAACAAAAAACTATAAGCCATTTTTATTTATTTATTGCCCTAAAGTGGCAATGATCTTTTCAACATAATTGAAATTGAGTATTTGATATCATACATAATTTAGAAGTTGCTCTCTGATAACTATTTAAGCTTCTCCAAAAGAGAGAGAGATTATCTAAGGCTATAAACTGAAGAATATATAGTCACATGCACAACTCTTCTACAATTAGTCAGGGTGAGTATTTGTATTACTAAAAACATTTTACTATTTGTAAAAAAAATAATTGGGATAAGTTGGAAAAAGTTTCTAACTTTTTATTTTCTTCTCTTTTAACATATATTCTTAAAAGAGCAATTTTGTAGACAAGAACTGCCATTAAAAAACAAAAAGCAAAAAAAAAAAAAAAAACACACAAAAAGCACAAAATACGGTTTGACCTATAGTTTGTGAGTAATAAAAGAGAAACATTTCATATGTTGAAAGAGTTCATAAAAACCTTTAGAACTTTGTTCAGCTTTTAATGCTGATTAAAATCTTATGTAAGTACTTATGTATAGGGTGCATGTGTACTGTGGAATTTTTGTTTTAAAGTGTAAAGTTTTGTTGTAAAATGTATTCATTTGTTCTATTTTCAGCAGTGTGTTTGACAGTGGTGAAATTTTATTCAATATCTTCCTTTAGGACACCAGGTGTCTACATGAGAATTTCTAACCTAAGTGAGAGGGAGATGTGGAAGGGAAATCATAAGAAAAATATTAATGAATTTTGCTTCATTTTTTTTTATTGTCTTCACTTTATTGTTGCACATTTTCTTTCTCCTCATTTTTTTCTGTTTTCAGTATTTTCATTACTTGTTACACTACTTAAAGATACTAAAATCCCACTCTTTTCATAAACTAAAATCTGGCTAAGGAAAATAAACTGTCTTAACTTTAAAGCAATAGCTTCCAAAGAGTATCCTTTTATCTGAAGGTATATTTATTTTATCCAAGAATGCAAGATCCCATTAAAGACAAAAAGCACACTAAGTTTATATAATTTTCAAACTGAACATGTAGATAGCTATACCATTTTATACTGATATTACTACCACTAATTACTGTAGGAATTATCATAATGGAAGAGTTTCTATAAATCCTAAACAAATTAACTGTTGACATTTTTTTTTTTGTTAGCAGTATGAGTCAAAGAACAAGACAGGATCTGGGTGGACTTGTTTTATTAAATAACATTTTGTTAATAATCTATACAACCTTTAAAAATAGAGTTTTAAAACATCTTCAGTAAGTAGTATAATTCATCTGTACTGGAAGGTATGAGAGTGAGGCCGTTATTATTTCTTGAAGTCATAGTTTTTTTATTTTTTGTTAGGACAGAATGCAGTTTAGTTGGATCCTAGGATTTAACAGTAATAAAGAGACTTTTAAAAAAAAGTCTCTTGAAGAAAAAATTTTTTAAATGAAGTAAATTTTAAAATTAAAGTCTCTCGAAGATCAAATAGGAAAGCTGAGTTTGATGTTGGTGAAAACACAGGTGTTTGGCCTCCCTTAGTAAATATGGAGAACCAGCCACGATCTTCCCTAGAGGTGTCAGGAAGGAGACTTTCTGTTTTTTTTTCCTGTGGGGTTTTATGACAGCATACAATTCTTATTGATCCATCTGGCTTTTTTTTTTTTTAAGTTATTTCACTGAATACAGATATATAAAGGGAAGATTTTTGTTAACTCGTTTTGCTCAGCTTTTATTTGGTGATTGTCCATCAGAGACTGCCAATAATGTAATTAATTAAGAATAAACTGGTTATATCACCATATAGTGGGGATTTAAAAATATCAGGGTTTGATTTGAGTTTTTGCATATCTTTATATTGTTCAAGTAGTAGATATCCCTCCTTTTTAATTTTATAAAATACTAATAGTCCAGTCATTTGAATCAAGTAGCTGTTCGTGATGCTTTCTTTTCCTTCCAAGTAAAATTTTAGTTTTAGTTTCCCAACTGCTGTCTATCAAGAGTTGTTTTTTTTCTTTCCCCCTCCCTATAAAGGGCCAGACAGTATATATTTTCAGCTTTGTGGGCCATAATGATCCCTGTTACAGCTCTGCCGTTATAACAAAGGCATCTATCGACAGTATCTAAACAAGTGACCATGGCTAGGTGTCCATAAAACTTTACTTATGACATTGAAATGTTAATTGGATAAAATTATCTTGTGTCACTAAATAGCCTTTTCTTTTGATTAAAAAATTAAAAAGCTATTTTAAAATGTAAAACCCATTCTTAGCTTGCAGATTATAGTTTCCCAACCCCTGTTGTATACAATCAACTTTAATGATTGACACTAAAATAAAAACATGTTCAAGAACCTCTGCTCATAGTCATGCCACTGGTTGAAGGTCAAGACTGTTGAGGGGAAACAGTGTACTGGTCCCTGGTGGGTTAAATCAATCTTTATTCCATATATATGCTGTCCATTTCTGATCTGTGATTTTGCTCTAAAAGCTCAGTCCTGCCTTTCCTGTACCTCTTGCTTTTCTCTTCTGTCAGCCATAGAGACTGTGGCAAATAGTCTCTCCTTAAATTTAACTCCAGCCCTGTTCCACTCTCCACCCATCTCCTATCCTGAGCATTTGTCCTGGCCTCTTGGCTTACCAAGAAAATTGAAGCCATCCAACAGAAACTCCATTTCCTGCCTCCAAACCAGCAAAATTAATTTCACATAAGCCCATTCTTTCTACCTTTTCTCCTATGGAAATGGCAGGAGGTCTTACCTTGAAGCTGTTAGCAGCCACATAAACTTGTACTCTATTTTTTTGCTAACATACCCTCATCGGCTTGGTCTTCCAGGAATTTTTCATAAATTTCAACTTGCTTTTTGACATCCCTTTTTATTTTTCAGCCTTGTTTTAAGTGTATTCAGTTTATCTTTTCTGACAGTCTAAGGAATGTGGTGTGGAAGAGGAGGAGAAGGGTTGTTTTCTGTTGTGTCTAATCCAGTCTTCCTCGCAACAGACAACCTCTCTTTTCAGACACCTGTCTCTGTTTTCCTAGTGTTGCTGTAGCTTAGAACATTGCCCTAGGCCCTCCTTTTTCACTCTGTACCTTATTTGAAGCTTGTCACCCACTTTATCCTGATGACTCTCAAATGGTACTTCCAGCCCGTATTTTTCTCCTTCACTTACATGCCTTTGGCTCATCTTAAACCTTAAAACTACTTTTTCTCTTGTGTCACGTCATCTCATTAGATGAAGCCACCATCCCCTCACTGGGCATCATTCTAGAAATTTACTCAGTCCTAATTGATTCAGCCTTCTAAATATTTCCATTCTCACTACTCATTCCTGGCACAATTGTCTTTTGCCTGCTGTACCTCCTCCCCACCTCCTATCCCTAAATTCTCTTGAATAATCTTTCTGAAAGGTAAATCTCTCCTGACTTAAAACTCTTCAGTGACTACTCATTACCCTCAAGAAAATATTCAAACAAAGCCTGTCATTTTTGCTTGTTATTCCCTTTTCACTCTCCATCCAACCTGAAAACCATGTTCATTTCCCCAAATGTGCCCTGCACTTTTCCTCATAGCCTCGAAACAGATCATCAAAGTCACTTCTCTTTCTTTCCTCAAATATGCTCTCCACTCTGAATTAGAATCACTTATCTGTAACCTCAGCCATCCTGAGAGCTCACAGGGCAGAAACCACCTGAAGCCTTGCCCCAGAATGGGCCATAGGGTTTCGGAGACACTTCCTATCATGAGATTGGTTGAGTGGACTTTCCCGTGTCCTTTTAAGTTGAATTAAACATTTCAGTCTATTTTAATAGCATCTGAAAAGTAGCAGTAGACCACCTGCTGTCCCCAGCAGAAATAGGAGACTTAGAGAACCAAGGTGTGAGCAGCAGCCCCATCTCCTTTCATCGAGGATCACCTCCAACCCCTAGAATGTTTCTCTTTCTTGTGTTAGTAAGTATCTGAGTCCAGCTAAAATACCAGGTGAGCTCCACTATACAGTAAAGACATTCCAGAAAGGAAGGGCTGGAAAAGAGCTCTTTTTGAGTACAGTTGAAATAGATGCTGGATTTTTTTCTGTGACATGAGTAATGTGGTTGACATTTACAGTGTACAAGCTGAAATTACTTGATGTCCATAACTTGATAAACTTTTTAAATTTTCATATACTACTGATTCAGTCATGATGTCTGTATGACAGTAATTTAGATTATAAAGCTGCAAATGTGTAGTTTAAAGCCTCTTAATATTTTCCTGAGAGAGACAGTATAACACAGTGATGACAAATATGAGTAGTAGAGCTAGATTGCTTTGGTTCAAATCCTACCTCCATCACTTTTTAGCAGTGTGTGCATTGCTTAATCTGTAAAATAGAGTTAATAAGATTGCAGTGATGATTAAATGAGTTAATGTATGTAAAGTCCTTACAACACAATAAGCACTACATATGCTTTTTTAAAAATAAGTAAGTTTGAAAAATTAAGGAATTCAGGGCAGATTTTTATTTTGATTGCTCTAGACACACTTTTTCCTCCAAATGTAAGGTGTGTCAGAAAGCTTATCCCCTGTGATTCTGACAGTCAACTCAGAAGGAAGTACTTGAGGAGCGACACCTTTACTGAAGAACATGCTTTGATTTGACATATTATGGTCTGTGTAGTCTTACCTGCCTACAGGTCTTAGAATCAAGAGACCAAACATGCATCTTACCTGGGGAAAACTAAAAGTTGTAGTATTTTTAACCTCCATACAATAGTAATTGCTCCAGTCCTTCACAGAAATAATTTAACTTGTGAATACATTGCTTCTCAAGAGGGGGAAGAAATAAACGAAAAATTCTTAGATACCATGCTTTGGAAGCAAATGTTGGTACTGTTCAGAAATGTTGGCAGGTGTCTGTTAGTCTTAGATTCTTTCCAGAAGTTGAACGTCAAGGATAGTAGGG